CATATGAACAATTTATAGTTAATTAGAATTCCATAGCTTCCGCTTTAATTGCCTATTGATAAAATTTCGAGACGAAAAAAATTCCCACATCCAGACTTGACACAATTTCACGACATCTAGTTGGCCGCGCGAGACTAGATGAATATGACAGACAGACAAGAAAACAAGCGCAAAAACTAGAATGTCGTTTGACTTTCTCGCATACTTTAACGCACGCCACTGGTTTTATGATTTTTTTCACACAAGTAAAGAAATTTCAGGAAATTTATTTCCCCAGTTGGTTGTAATAAATAAATGGCTGACAATTTTACGAGTGGTTTATGGCATAAAAGCGATTATGGCATTCCTAAGTGCCTTGTTTTAAAAGCTGAAAATCCGACTGGTGACGACATCTAGCGGAAAGAAGGATAACTCAAATACAGGTTTCTGTAATATTGCAAATGCTTTTTTAATTAAAAATAGTTTTTGTTTCCGGACAAGGCAAAGCCGAGTCCGCAATAACTTTATAGCCAAGTATTACAAACATTTTTTTTTGTTAAAGCTACCAAAAACACATTCATTCTTATTGTGTATACAAAGTGTGCCAAAACTCGTGCCCCAGAGAAAATTTTCAAGTAAGGTAAGATACCAAGAACACGGAAAAAATGTTTAAAAAATTCTGTCTGCCAAAAATTATGACATTTATTTTTTGACATTTGACATTTTTTTTATGTCTATTTAATGATACTGATGATCTTGTATATGTTTTTTTACAATTATTTAGTAGATCAGAGTTGCAATTTAGGATACAGCTTCTTTGGAAAATTATTTTTCCAACAGAAATAGAGTCAAAGTGCAAACTTTAAACCGTCATAACTTCGAAATTTTTATAGATAAAATTTTTTTAACATTTTTTCCATGTTTCTGGGATCTTACCCTATATGGCATTTTTCTCTGGGCGCGAGTTCTGGCGCACCCTGTATAATTAATTTCTTGAAAATAGTGGTTAGAAAGAAAAAATAGTACCTAAAACCTGAAGAGAACTCATTTTAGGGATTTAAATGAATGCGTAAAATAGCTATTTTTGGGACCGTATCTACAGGTGCGCCAGAACTCACGCCCCAGAAAAGAATGTCATATAAGGTAAGATACCAGGAACATGGAAAAAATGGGAAAAAAATTATTTATAAAAATTTCGATGTTATGAGAGTTTAAATTTTGCACTTTATCTCTATTTATTTCTGTTGGAAAAATAATTTTCCAAGTTTTTTTGCTACAAGCTATTTGAAGAGGAAACAAGGAAGCTGTATCCTAAATTGTAACTCTGTTTAATGTTATTTGTGACCTTTATTGGCAAAATTTTTGTACCTTTACTAAATAATTATAAAAAACATATACAAAATCATCAGTATCATTAAATAGACATGTCAAATGTCAAAAAGTAAATGTCAAGATAGAATTTTTTCCATGTTCCTGGTATCTTATCTTACTTGAAATTTTTCTCTGGGGCGCGAGTTCTGGCGCACCCTGTATACGAAAAGTTGATTTTTTAAAAGTTTAGTTCTATATTTTTTAACATAACTTGTGATAATTCTCATAAAAAATAGTTTACAGTAAGAAATGTAAATTACGATTCTGTCTTTACGAAAAGTATGCAAATGCACGGCAAGCTTGATAATTTCTAAACCCCAATTCGACGCGCGTCCGCCCAAATCCCTTTGTAAAAATTTAAGACGACCGTTCGTTTATTTACATTACAAATCGCTTATTTACAATTTCTTTGTGTCGTTGGTTCGGCCGGATGCTGAATTTTGTCCGCATTTATGGAAAACCGGTCATTTCCGTCTTCAAAATCGTCCAATAATAAAGCAATTCACTTTTACGACGAATTATTTGACGATTTAACAGTTGGACACCTGTTGGTCGTCTTCGGAACGTGATTGTATTCGTATTCTGGGAGTCGAAATTGAAAATGCGATGTTTGGATTCGGGACAGATGCTTCCGGTCTTCGATGACAATAGAACTAACCGAGGACAAGCGGGTTTAGATTGACCAGAAAACTAACACAAGCGGAACTAATCCGGGTTTTATTATAACACCCTTTTGAAGCTGGAAATGAGCATCCGAGAGGAAAAAAAAAACAAAAAAACTCGTTGATTAAATTTTTGATCAAGTGGCCTGTGATTTTGGTTCAAAATATCAATAAAAGAAAAGTTAAAACAATAAAAGAAAAAACAAATAATTATAAAAGTTTAAAAAAAGTTCCAATTTTTTTTATTTTTCATTGTTGCAAAAGCTTTTGTCCTTAAGTTGGCAATATTAAATAAAGTTTAAACAAAAGATGTTAGACTTTAATATTACCAACTTAAATATTTACAAAAATAGTTCAAAACATCAATAAAATGAAAAAATTAAAAGGGTAATTTTTTTATTTCCTTTTTTAATTGCTGTCAATTTTTATATCTTTTAAGTTATAAAACTGAAACAGATAATAATATGAGACTTTAATAATGCCAACTTTATAAAACTCAACATAAAATGAAAAAAAATAAGAAAGTGTAAAAATAGTATGTACGAAAAATGCAGTTTTTGCGGACAAATCGTTGCTGTTTCCGGTCGAGGCGAAGCCGAGTCTAGATTAGCAGACAGTTTGCAAAAACATTTTAGGTACGTGTTACCAACAACATTTTTGTTAAAGCCCCTAAAAAACGAACTCACACCTCTTATTAATTAAAAAAATTTGGCCACCATAGTATCCAAATTGACTTTCGTCAGAAGAAAGTGTTTTTAGAAACTGAGTACCTATAAAATAATCATTTTACGTACTTTTATATTGAGTCTGGAAAATATTTATTTTAGGGACTCACATGTATCTTTTTATTTTTCATTGTTGCCAAAGCTTTTGTCCTTAGGGTGGCAATATTAAATAAAGTTTAAACAAAAGATATCAGACTTTAATACTGCCAAGTTAAATATTCATAAAAATGGTTCAAAATACAAATAAACTGAAAAAATTAAAAGCGTAATTTTTAAATTGTTGTCAAAATTTTATAGGTACCTACCTTAAGTTGGCAAAATTAAATAAAAAGTAAAACAAAAAATGTTACACTTTAATAGTGTCAACTTAAATATACACAAAAATAGTTCAACATTCAAATGAAATAAAAAAATTGTGGAAAAAATATTTATGATTGCTGTCAAAACTTTTGAGCTAAAGTTGGCAATATTAAATAATATTGAACAAATATATAACATTTTAGTACTAACTTAAAAATGGTTTAATAAAATGCATTCGAAATAAAAGAAAAATTAAATGGGTGAAAAAAACGTCTAGTATTTTATTTTTGATTGCTGTCAAAACTTTTGACCTTATAAGTTGGCAATATTGAAGAAAATTGTAACAGAAAATATGATACTTTAATAATGCCAACTTAAATACACACAAAAATAGTTCAAAACACAAATAAAATAAAAAATTCATGGTGTAAAAATAGCAAATTTTTCTTTTAATTTTTGATTGCGGTCAAAACTTTGGAGCTTAAGTTGGCAATATTGAAAAATATTAATAAACAAGAGACATTTTATTGCCAATTTAAAAATGGTTTAATCAAACACAAATTAAATAAAAATAAGTTAGCAAGTGTAAAAATTATTGATTGATGTCAAAACTTTTGACCATAAGTTGTCAATATTAAATAATATTGAATAAATATGAGACATTTTTGCCATTTTAAAGATGGTTCAATAAAATACATGCAGGGTAAATATAAAGTATGAAACCAAACGGTTTTTTTTTAATCATTTGCCTCCAGAAAATAATAATTAATATAAATTAAAGTAATAGAAATAATGTGATCGTATTTTTAGAAAAAAAAAATTGTTTTGTTTTTGAGTTATGCGATTTGTTTTGTCAAAATTGCAATTTATGTAAAAAATTTTTAGATTTTCTATATTTCTAGATTATGTATAACCTTAATGAAATAAATTGTTTTAAGTGGGTTGCCATTTAAAAAAAAATAAAAAAAATTGTAGAACTAAAAACAAAAGAAAATTTCGAAAAATTTTGTTCTTGATAAAACATCACATTTTTAGTACTTTACCATTCATCAATTAGTTTTTTCAAAAAATAAATAGTTTAAGCAAAAAACGTTTCATATTTATTATTCACCTGGTATGTTTTCCTCTAGTCACAAAAATACAATATTTTTACTAACATACACGTTGATTCAGCTGATTTTGTCGAAATTGACCAAAAAATCACTAAATTAGATTGGAAATGACGTTCATTAAGACTGTTTTGCTCAATTTACCTTTTTTTTTGTGAGCCAAAAACACATTTTTTTACAAAATTTCTCAAAAAAAGGTTGAAATTACATTAAAACTGGAGCTATTTTTAATTTTTTGGTGTGTTTGAATATGTTTTCTTTTTACAAAAAACGAGTTTTCTCTAATGAAATTTTACAAAAGCAGACCAAAAACCATAAAAATTTATGAAAATAAAAAAACGAGTGTAAAAAATGTCCATTTTATAAATTTTTGATTGCTGTCAAAACCGATTCGTTAAAACCCATTGAGCGTCCAGCATCCGGCCGAACAATCGACATCCGGCGAAGGTCATAATTGAGACCTCCCGTCATTTCGCACCCCATCCCTGTCACTACATAAATCCTTGACCAATTACCGCCAGGAAGCAGTAGTGGGGGTGAACCACCCCCTAATATATCGTTCCGAGTTCACGTTTCCACATTTGCCACATTCAAGTCCAAGAAAGCGTCAGTGCACCACGTTTCGTGTCTGTGTGTGTCCCTCATCAGTCACGTGTTTACCGGTAAGGTGTCCCAAAAATTTAGCATTTTACATGAATGAAACGGAAAAAATGATAATGGCAATTGAAAATCGGTGATAATAAGTTTCCTTTTCCTGTCAGTGTGGTCAAACAGGGCTTTTATATAGGCAAGGATACGGATATCCTGTCTATGGACGTCCTTTACATGTGTGCGTTTATTACAAATGTATGGCAATGATCGGTGTGTGGTGGAACAGTTCGGACGGTTGGTTGTTTTTTTGTGTTTTTCGGTGTTTGTTGTGGTAGGTAACAGGGAAGACGACACCCTCTTGCTCTCGAAATATCGATCCGATAATGGCTTTAGCACTCGAGCTATTTCAAGTTCGCCGACGAACATGTGACACCACTGAAGTAAAAATATAGAAAGCTCGACGTCCTTTAACCCATTTAATTTTATTCCATTTGCATTTATAAATTTAAGATTTTTTTCATACCTCAATTTTCCACCAATTATTTTTTTTTTAATTTTGGATATTAATGATAATTAGCTATACTTTTTCTTGATGTTTTTAAAGCATTGCTTATTTTTAAAAACTAATGTTAATTTATAAATTTCTTTTAGTACTTATGTTTTTTAGAGGATTATTGGTTTTTAGACTAAAACGTAAACAGACTATCTATGTTTTGGTTTTTACTGTTATCAAGAAATATAGCAGCCCCTCCTTTGATGAATTGGTTTTTTATGGCCAACACGGTTGCTTGTATTCGTATTCATATTTTTCTTGTAGGGTTCGTGAGTTTCTTTTACTTATATTACATTGATTACCTTTAAATTTATTTATTTTAAGCGGGGATTTACTGGTTTTATGAATTTATCTCATAAATAAATAATAATAAAAATAATTCAAACAATTATAAAATAGGGAGTAAAGCCTCTGAAGGAAATTGAAACGTTGACTTTCTATTAACTCATTTTTGGTCTCCCATTAGTAAAAAATTGCTTTTTATTATTTTTTTAAATTATTTTCTGTAACATTATTATGTATTATGTTTTCGTATAATTTGAATTTATTTTACTTGTGTGTTGGTACTGTATTACACAGTTTTTATTATTTCAGAATGAAATAGACCCTGTAATATACTTTTTCGTTTTTGTTTAAAATTTAGACAAATTATTCAATTCCTTATATCGTTTTATTTTAATACCAAGTGAATATAAACCAAACATTATTTGCTTCAATTATTTTTTTTAAAGTAGTTGATGAATGGTAAAGTATTATAAAAATCGAATGTTTCTCAAGAACAAAATTTTTCGATACTTATTTTTTATTTTTGACTTCTGCAAAATTTTAATTTTTTTTTCAGTGGCCAACCACTTCAAAACCTTTTTTTTTACAAAGGTTGTCATTTAAGGATCACAACTACCTACATTTTACTTAATTTTTAATGAAAAAGATTTTTATAAATTGCAATTATGAAAAACTCAAAAACAAAACAAAATTTCATTCTTATATCACTTCTCTAATTTTTATTAATTATTATTATTTCCATACTTTTTGTTCTATTACAAAATTTTAAACAAAATACAGGGTGCGCCAGAACTCGCGCCCCAGAGAAAAATGCGATGTAAGGTGGTAAAATATTAGGAACATGGAAAAAATGTTAAAAAATTCTATCCATAAAAATTTCGAAGTTATGAGAGTTTAAATTTTGCGCTTTGCTTTTTTTGCTACAGGCTATTAAAAGAGGAAATAAGAAAGCTGTATCCTAAATAGTAACTCTGTTCAATGTTATTTGTGGGTTTTATTGGCAAAATTTTTGTGCCTTTACTAAATAATTGTAAAAAAACATATACAAGATCATCATTATCATTAAATAGACATAAAAAAATAAATGTCAAAATTTTTTAACAGATAGAATTTTTTAAACATTTTTTCCATGTTCTTATCTTACTAGAAATTTCTCAGGGGCGCGAGTTCTGACACCCTGTATAAAAGAAGGTTTTTTTCATAGTCTAATTATGTTCAAAAACAAGAAAATAAGGTTCCTTTTTTTAATTTTTTAACTTAATTTGGCATCACTGCGAAAAATATTATATCTTTAATGTTTGTACTTTCATTTTTTTGTTGTTTTTAGATATTGTGTAATAGATTTTTAAAAAGAGCGGGCTTTGTCCTACAAATCAAGTTCTTTGAAAAACTAAACAAAATCGGAGAATACAAAAAAAGGAGGCTCATTAAGAAAACATAGTTCGTTTTGTACTCATTTCTGAGACATTCTGTATAATTAAAAATATTTTTTTTAATACTTCCAACATTAAAATTTCAATAATAAACTTTACTAACTTATTGGGTCACCTGTACTCATAATAAATCTAAAATAATTGAGTTTTTGATTATTTTTATTGTTATTTNATATTATAAAAAAAATTCTCTTAAACTTATGACCTATTTTTTTGTCATTTTTTCTAGACCTGAATATTTTGTACAATCTGTAGCAAATCTTTTGAGACATGTAAAATGTTCTATTTTTTTCGTGAAAAAATTTCTTTCATTTATTTGACGTTTTATATTTTTTCCAAAAAACTAAGATGGAAGCTAAATTTTAGATCTAGGCACAAAACGATAAATTTTTCGAAAGGTTTCAAGAACAATCTGATAATTAAAGGAATCGTTAAAATAACAGTCGTAGATATTAAGCCGATTTAGAAAATTCTAATTCCAAATTAAATTAATTTGAATTAAGTTGCGAATTAATATTTTATTAACAAAAATCTCTGGTATGCGATACAAACCACCCTATTAACACCCGGAAATTGTTAATTATCGTCCACTTATCAACCTTCTCCACTTTTCTAACGTCAGTGGTGATGAATTCGTCCGGGTCTTTGGGGTAGTTTTAGACACAGGAAGGGGTGTTTCCTCATCAATGCCATTTCCGCCACAGTCTTGCACTCTCCAACATCCGACAAATCAAAATAAACACGAACTTTTTTTCAGATCCACTTCGCTTCAAAATAGGGCATTACATGAAGATGGCTTTGCAGACAGCCCCCGTCAGATACGGACGCACTGAGAGGTGGGCGAGATTGTCTTTCGACGACGAAGACGATTTACCAAAAGGTTTTAATTTCACAATTTCAGAAATAAAAATTTATTTATTTTTAATTTAGATCCGAGACAATGGACGAGAGACCATGTGGCCCAATGGATCAGTTTAGTGACCCAACAGCACGGTTTACCTGAAGTACCCTCGTCGAGATTTTTAATGAACGGAAAAGCTTTATGTCTTATGTCACTGGGGATGTTTTTAAGTAGGGTACCGTTAGGGGGGAAGCTTTTATATAAAGATTTTCAATTAAGGCTTTGTGCGGCACTTTACGGCGTCACTCATTAATTTTCCTCACTTTTTTTTACATAATTAGTGCTATGATTGAATAGGGTTAAGTAACACTTGGCAGCAACTATTTTACTTCCTGTTGTAATTAGAATTTTTTTAAGTATTATAAAACGTCTGCCTCAAGGATTTGTCCTAGTCATGTAAATAAATATGTTTAGTACCACTCAATTTTTCATTTATTTAGATTTTCTCAGTTGCGACACGAGTCGTAGGCGAGACTTATATTTTTTATACAAGGCGATTATAAATTCCTGTCAACCAAGTTGGCGTTGTTTGTTAAGTTTGCCGCCTTGTTCCGATGACTATACTCTAGTCCTGTCACTTCTGACATATAACCTAATTAAAATAAACCGGCCAAAATTTTTACAATTTCGACAAATTTTTGATTACTGTTGTTCCAAGATCAGTTCTGATTTCGAAAAATTGTTGGAGAAATTCGACGGGAAAAGTGTCTCGACCACAATTGACAGAAATAACAAATATAAACCGGCCAAAATTTTGACAAATTTGCAAAATTTTTTGATTACTACTGTTTTATAGTAATAACTAAACATATGTATCAAAAAAATTCTATTTTGGTACTGTTTGTCCATTTGGTTATAGTAATAGTATTGATAGTAATAAATCGGTCTTTGTTCGGGATGGGAAAAGTGTCTCGATTGTGCAGTTTTTAATCATGAATCCATAACGTTAAAATTTTTTAAATCAAACCAAAATTGACAGAGATAACAAAAATAAACAGGCCAATTTTTACAATTTTGCAAAATTTTAGTTTACTATTGTTGTTGTGTCAGTGCTGAATGTAAATTATTAGAGAAATTTGATGGAAAAAAGGAGTCGATTGTTTAGTTTTTAATTACAAATCCAATGGTGTTAAAATTTTCTAAATCGGACTAAAATGGACAAAAATAAAAATGAAACGACCAAAATTTTGACAAATTTGCAAAATTATAGATTACTATTGTTCTACACATCTCCAAAACTCCTCGCGCCCCAGAGAAAAATTCCATATAAGGTAAGATACCAGGAATATGGAAAAAATGTTAAAAAAAATTATCAATAAAAATTTTGAAGTTATGAGAGTTTAAATTTTGCACTTTGACTCTATTTATTTCTTTTGAAAAAATAATTTTCCAAGTTTTTTTGCTACACCCTGTATACAAAACCATCAGTATCATTAAATAGACATAAAAAAATGTCAAATGTCAAAAATTTTTGACAGATAGAATTTTTTAAACATTTGTTCCATGTTCCTGGTATCTTACTTCAAATTTTTCTCTGGGGCGCTAGTTCTGGCGCAGCCCTGTATAACAATTAAACATATGTATAGAAAGATTTTTGACTTTGGTGCATTTTGTCAATTTGGCTATAAATCGGTCATTATGCAACGGGAAAAATGCTTCGATTAAGTTTTTGATAATGAATCCAATGTTCTTAAAATTTTCGAAATCGGTCCAAAATTGACAGAGATAACAAAAATAAACCATCCAAAATTCGTATAATTCTACAAAATTTATGATTACTATTGTTACAAGATCAGTTCTGAATATAAATTTGGAAATATTTTCGAATTTGGTACAGTTTGTCCATTTGGCTATAGTAATAGTGGTAATAGTAATAAATCGGTTATTGTTGGAGTAGTTCAACGGATGATTTTTGAAATCAGAGCAAAATTGAAACGGTTATTAAAATTTAATTGTTGTCTATCTCAAGGAAGCGGCACCTTGTATAAATACACTGTTAAGCCTATTTTAACAAAAATACACTCATATGAAACATTTTAACAATTACAACATTTTGATATAGGATTTAAGTAGTAAAATAATGATTTTATTTCACTAAAAATCAGTCGAAATTAGTTGTACAAATTCCACAAGGAGATGACGCCATCGGCGCCACTAGCCGCCATGATATTGGCATCCCAGAACCGCACCGGTTTTACAGAAAACTGCACATCGGTCACAGCCCCCTTGTGCTCATTCAAAACGACCAAAAGTCTGAGACTCTTCCAAGAAAACATCCTCAAACTACCATCCCAATTCCCCGCAACGAAAATCTTCCTATCATCCCTCAATTTAACAATATTACACCCTTCATTCGTGATTGAAATTTCGCATTTCAACGTAATGTTAAAATTTTTATCGATTGTGAAAATCTGGAGGGTGTTTGAGGCATTTCCGCAGATGCCTCGCCCCGTTACTGGATCAAAAGTGAGCGATGTGATACACTCGCGGAGTTTGAGGTGGCCGCAAGGCTGGGCCGTGGTGTAGTCCCAGAGGATAATGTCCCCGGTTTCGTACCCCCCGAGAATGTATATTTTCCCCCCAAGTTCCACTTTTTGCAGACACATGACGTTGCCCAGTTTGGGTTTGTGGGGCACCAGACGGGCGAGTTTCGACATGGTTGAGATGTGGATGATGTCGAGGGTGCTGTCTTCTTGGGGCACAATGAGGTTGTCGTTGAGGAGAATGCTACGACAGTAGCCCCCACGACAACTGTACGTTTTAGAGAGTTGGTAGGAGGAGTTGGTGATGGTCCAGAGTTTCACCATACCGATTTTTTCCTGCGTGATTATGTCGTGTGAAATGGAATGGATGGCTTGAATGGAGTCCCCCATGGGTTGTTTGTGTTGGAGACGATTTGTCTGAGGGGAAGTAAAAAGTACAAAAAAGTGTTGTTATTCTAACCTCACTTTCAAAAAACAAAATTCGTATTAAATTATATACCTCCAAGTCCCAAAAGTACACAAAACCACTCTCAGTAGCCGCAAGGAGTCTCGAGGAGTAGTTTTCGTTGGTTATGGGAAAACAAAGACTGTGAATGTGCCCCATGTCACTTTTCAAACAAAAGACAGGGTCAGGGGGCAAAACAGCCATCGTCACTGGTAATAAATAACCACAATCACTTCACTTTTACATATTCACTGATTTAAATGATTAATTATATTATTTACTTGTTTCGTATTTACAAAAACAACTCATTTCATAACCTCACTCATTATGTCACTAGTATATTTGGTTGCATAACTCAGAGCTCAATCATAAATTTATTTCTTAGACTAAAAAAATTCGAATGCGTCAATTAGGATTATAAAAAAGTATAATTACAATTTTCTTAGTTTTGTTAATTTTTTTGTGCAAAAAAAGCAATAAAAACAATAAATGTTTTAGGGAGTTTTGGATTTATAACATGCCTGTTGGTAGCAAAACAATTGAAAATCAAAAACGAGCGTCGATTGTTATGGTTTAATGTTCTTTGCAATTATTGCGTTTTAAATAATTAATTATGATCATTTTTTTTAAGTTTTAACCAGAAGTTAAAAATAATGTGTAATTGTTGTGCAACAACTCAACAGCCCCAAAAACTCTTCATTGCCCGCCACAGGTAAGTCCAAAAAGTACTGTTCCGATAATTTTTCATTACGTTATGTATTCGTCTGATTGTTTTTATTCGAGTTTTATTATTTCATTTGTTTGTAATAGTTTATAACTGATAAATTGTGAAACTTGAGGTTTTTGAATTTTGGAAAAACGCTAAATGTCGCTGTCTTTCTCGCTCTCGAACTAGTTACGTAAAGAGTGAGTGAGATGGACAAGGCTAGTTGATTGGCTAGTTTGGTTTTACGTGCCATAAGGCTTACTTTTTTTTTATAAAATTTGATCACGTCCTAATTTTAAAGTTTTATTTGATTTTTACAAAAAAAAATTGAAGGTGCCTATGAATTTTATATCGCGTAACTAAAACGGTGAACTTAGGTTCTAGTTTTTCTTAGTTTATGCATTAAAAAAATATAAAATCTACAGAAGGCTATTTAGAGAGTTTTGAATTAATAGCATTTATGTTGGTAGTACACTAAAAAATTTAAATCAAAAATAAATGTCAATTTTTATTGTTAAATTGTAAATGGTTACAGGGTTTTTGTTAAGTATATTGTGAAATTTCGCTACTTTCCCCGCTTTCGATCAAATTACCTAAGTGAGACGGACGGTTTTTCTCACTATATTAAAAAAATATATCATTTACTGTTTAGCGGAAAAATATTCTTCTTAAGTAATAAGAGAAATATTGGAACACATTTAGTTTACTATCGAAAATGACATTTACTTTTGTCTTCAAAATATGTGGCTTCTTTCCTAAATCGCAAAATATCCGCTTCATTGACTTCTCCCATATCTTCACATTTTCCGCATTCGACACAAATCGGTAATTTTCCATTGAATAAAATTGGAAATTGGCACGAACTTAGATGCTTATATTTCCTCAAATTTGTTTCAATTTTGAACAAACAGTCACAATTCCATGGATTTCCATAGAGTGCCAAGTCGGTTCTTCTTTCCCAATTGCTGATCCCCAGATTCGTCAGTCTGTTAAAAGTCAAAATGGCTAACATTGGTAAATCGGAACTGCTGAACACGTCGATGGTCACATTTCGTATCAAATTTGAGTGAAAATCTACAAGTTCCAAATTCTCGTGATTATCGAAACGGTAATGAACTTCCTGAATTTGATTGTAGGCAAAATGTAGGAATTGGATCCGTTTTAAAGGAGAGATGTCTGGTACTGTTTTCAGAAAATTGTGTTCAATAAAGAGTTCTTTCAAGTTGTGTAGATTTCTGAAAAGGTTGGGTTCTAAACTTTCCAGATTGTTATAATTCAATTCGAGTTGTTGTAAACTTTCTGGGAAAGCTCCCGCTTCAATAAAGCTTATGTTATTGTGGTTTAACAAAAGCCATTTTATGTTAGTCTCCAAAAAACCCGTAGTGATAGAGTTTGTTGCGTGACAAATTCACAATCTCTAGATTTGAATTCTTGAAAATCGATCGGCCCAAATGTTGAATTTCGTTGTTTTCTAAAAACACTTCGTGGAGGTTTTGTAAATTGGCGAAGGTGTCATCTCGAATTATTGGAAGTTTGTTGTTGTAGAAGTTTAAATGTTTTAGCTCGTTTTTAAGTCTAAATGCAGTCGATTTGATAAATTTGAGTTGATTGAGAATTGTCAAGGACGTTGTTCTATGTAATATAAAAGTGTGTTTAAAAGATAAAATGTGGTTTGGAGGTTCGGATTTGTAATGATTTGAGCCAATGAGCACATGTCGCCAACTTACTGCTTCATCAATTTGTAATTCTTCAATGTCGGTTAAATCATCACAAATTATAACATATGATTCTTCACAAAAACCCAGAATCGGTTTCAAAGTTAAAAATGTAGTCACAATAATTAGAAATATTTTATGCATTATGTAGTCGTACATTTATAAGGATAAAGATAAGTGACTATTTACGCATCTTTACTTACGAAATAATAATAAGGTTAAAATGTTACAGAGATATTTTAATTTTGATTAGAGTGTAAAAACAATCCAGAATCAAGCCAATTGGCAAAGTAGTTTTTTTTGTTACCAGTACCTACCTAAAATACAATTTTTGCTGTTTTGGTGTTACTTGACACGGCTTAAAAGAAGAAATCACAATTAATTATATTTATTTTTATTATTATTAATTATAACAATAATAGACATCAAGATTACAAGGGGAACAGGTACTGAAGTGTTCATATAATTTCCTCTCAATTGCGTCATGCATTGTAAACCTAAAACGATATGTACATATTTTGTTAATATTATGTATTTATATTACACATACACTGCCAGTCAAAATTAACCAGACAACAAAAATTTTGCGATTTTTCACATTGCAATATTTTTGATATTCTTTGTCGGATTTCGACGAATTTTGGTTCGGCTTAAAGAACGAACTTTGCAGATTATTGTAATTTAATTCAATATCATTTCCAGTTTTGTCTTGTAAATGTTATACCTAAAAGACGAAAGCACTGTTTTTTTTACTATTTTTCATACTGAGCTGTGTTGTGCGGCAGAGTCAAACTTACGTTTTTTCTGATTTCAGATTAGTACCCGTTCTTTTCTGAATGAGGACCAATTTGTTTCAAAATTTTATCTTCTGGTGTCCCAGAGATACAAAGCATTGAAAAAGACGTTGCTTTTCTAATGTTACTAAATATTCGTTCAGAAAGTGGGCTACATAAAAAGGTAGTTAAACCGTAAATGATTGCCGCATGCGCCAAAGAAGCACAATTACGTCTTTGAACACAAAAAATTTAAAAAACTTAGTACTTCAAAGGATTACAGCAAGAAAACGGTTGATTTTTGGAAGCTTCCATGCGTCTATTTTGACGTTTTGGCACATTCGGTCTACTTAATATGAACAATTTACTGAAATTCGAAATGTAAAGTATTTTATGGGGGTTTATATTTCTCATGTCTCAAGAATTAAAATTATGGGAAATGTGGTACATAACTCAGAAAAGAATGGGAAATAATCTGAAATCAGAAAAAACTTAAGTTTGTCTCTGCCGCACACCACAGCTCAATATAAAAAAAGAGTAAAAAAACAGTGCTTTCGTCTTTTAGGTATAACATTTACAAGACAAAACTGAAAATGTTATTGAATTAAATTACAATGTTCTGTTATTCTTCTTTAATCCAAACAAAAATTCGTTGAAATCCGACAAAGAATAACAAAAATATTGCAATGTGAAAAATCGCAAAATTTTAGATGTCCGGTTAATTTTGGCGGGCAATGTATTATTAATGTAATTATACAGGGTGTTTCACGTAATTTTACGAGGCCTGCGCCTGTAAGATGCAATCAATAATACATATTCCGATACGAACTCACACATACAAATTTTGGAAAATTGGATAATCTTCTCTAGTTTGTTCATCCTTTCAAAAATTACAATGTTTTTAGTTAGTTAGTGATTAAGATAAATAAACTAGCTTCATACTCATGCCGTCTCTTGATAAAACAAATGATAATTGTTTCTGAAAAACTGCAGTTTATGACTACTAATGAAACAGTGATTAGTTTGATAACTACTGTCATGGGTTTCCAAAAGTTAAATAATTAAATAATTAAATGTGTATTTTTTGTATCCATGTTCTGTGACTTTTGCATACATTAGGCGCAAGCCTCGTAAAGTTATGTGAAACATCCTGTATTATGAGTTAATCAATATACTAAAAAAAACTAAAAAAGACAAAACTTACCACATACTGGACAAGATTCTTGGCATGATAATCCGCAATTCCAACTGCCGCATTCTAAAGTAAACACAGAAACGTTAGTTTCATTATAAATTCAGATGATTAAAATTGAAATCTACTTTTGTCACGTTAGTATTTGATAAGTTTTAGTAATAAAAATTTGTAGTATTAACTAATATATCGTATACGATGGTGGAAAACCCAATGTCAAATAGTATCTTATTACTAGTAGAGTAAGCTATGTCTAAAGTAATACAGGGTTATTCACGGGAGCAGTGTTGCCAACAGTACGTCAATGAAATTCTCAATGCGACAAAATAAAAGTAGCTAGAATTCTCCGTTTCAATTTGTCATTTTATTTGACTTTTCACGTGCAGTTAGTTGAAAAACAGACGTTTTCGGAAAATTCTCTAAAAATTCACTCATAGTGATTTGTGGCGGGTGTTTAAGACTCTTTGATAAAAGTTAAATTCTTTTACGGTCCGAGCGGGTTTCGCCACAAGAAGAATACATTTGTTTGAGGTAGGTTCTCCAGCGTTATTTTGTGGAGCCAATTACTTTGGGAAGATGAAGGATTTAAGCAGTCAGAAATCCAAGTAATTAAATTAACAATAACAATTTATTAAAAAAATTAAAGTTTAGAAAATATGAAATAAAACTAAATAAAATAAAAGAAAACCAAATAAAATAAAAGAGTAAACATTTTCCGTTCATGTTAAAGTTTACATTCACAAATTAAAGAATCTACCGATTTACATAAAGTAATAGTTTAGTGTCAAACAACTAACTTAATTCAAGTCCTACTAGCTACGTTCAATACAAGTTAACTTATTCTTATTGAATAAGCTTTTAATTAACATTAAATAATATTGAGTGAATTAACCATTATTACTAAATTCGAATGCAAGTGGAGAAATCGTTCAAGAAAAGGACCAGTCATTAAACAGCCCGGAACCCCGTGGTTTCGAAGTAAATCTCGTATTACCCTATTACACGCCCAGTCCATCCCAACTGTCATAATTCTTATCATTGGTTGTTGTTATTTAAATTGAAACACGAGTCGACCCATCATAAGTTAAACTTTGAAAAATTTCAAATGTTGTCATCGTCGGAGCAAGGAGAAATTAAACAGAATAAAACTCACAGTTTATCATCTGGGCAAATTTTGGAATCAGCAAACAGTAGAGATCAGCCAGGTAGTGGCAACAGCACTTAGTCGGAATTGTCACAAAGGGCACTTTTTCACACACTTCGACACACCATCGAACAGCACGACACCACGATCAAGATTGAATTGAATTCTCTTAATTTTCTGGGTGATATTTATATGGAGGGCCCCATGCACATGTGAGATGCAGGTGCCCTTTATCTCCCTATTTTTAAGAATTTTGTTCTAATTTTAGTAAGTTTTGACGTATCTCGACTAATTTATTATTTCCTTAATGATTTTAGCAAAGTGTTCGTGATTCTTCGACAAGGATGATAGTGTTGATTTGTTTATTTTAGTGCTTTGGTCCAGACAATTTATTGGGTTWGAACTGATATGTGTAATGTATTTTTTTCCTCATTTCTTGGAATAACACGTGTTTTGGTCGTTGTTCATGGGAACCTTTGTATCTGCTAAAACTCTTATCTGTTGGGATTTATGAGGGTTGTCTCGTAACTCTTGGATGGACATGTGTTTTAATTGCTTATTGCTGACATACTTGGTCAATATTATATGATAAAGTTAAATAGATTAATTTACGTTGATTGTTATATAAATTAAATCGTTGTCTTCTCTCGTTAATTTGATTGTTCCTTTCCTTTTCTCTTTACAATAAAATTGGTGGGTCAATTTGGCCCACCACAGATTTCAAAATCGCTAGATCTGAGACATGTCTCAACTTCGCTCAAAAAGTCGCAATAACAGGTAGAAAATCGTTAGATTTAGCGATAATTTCGCTAAATTGGCAACACTGCACGGACTGCACGGGAGGGTTATTTCTGAATTTTTTTTGCCGCAACCAACAATACCAATCTCACTAACAGCTACATTAAATATGTAATTTCTTTTAAATTAGGTACAAATCAAAGTAAGTTGGATAGATTTTCCAGAAATGTCAAATTGACAGATAACCTATAATTAATCAAAATTCAACAAATAAATTAATAAGTTAAGTTAATGTAAAAGGTGTTTGAAGGGTCTACCATCGACTTCTAAACATGCGCCTAGTCGTTTGGTAAACGATAACAAAACATGTCGCATTGTTTGAGAGATGATTTTTTTGTTTTAATGTCAAAGAGATAAGACTAATAACAGCTACCGTGGATTTAGTTATAATTATTTTCAAAATTTGAAATCAACAAATTGTTGCAATGTGTATAATGGGTTGCGGCAAAAACAAATTCAGAAATAACCTCGTGACTAACCCTGTATATAGGAAAATAGAAAACATAAAGGGAGCAAAAAGAACTTAAATGCGATGGTCAAGTGTTTTTTGTACATTGTTTTTTTAAAGACTGTTTTCCAACCCCTTGTTATGAATTTTTTTATTGCTTTTTTCATTTCAAATGTAATCTTAAAAATTTTATTTTATTATAGTTGATAAATAGTTATTTACATTATACGTGCGGTAGGTATAATTTTACAGCGTGAAGTTTTAATATTGAACCTCAACGCGAAGCTGAGAGTTTTAATAAAACTAAACGCTGTAAACTACCTAACGCACAAATGTACAAAACTTTCTGGCCGAAGACCGTTCTTGGATTAATTTAAATTTCGATTTGTGAACACATAACGTCTATGCGTTAACTATTTTCACCACGAGATGGCGCTGAACAGAATCTTGGCGAAAAAAAAAATAATTTTGTGTATTTTTGAATGCGAGGTAAATGATACATTTGTGCGTTAACTTTATTTTCCAGAGAGCATCTTTTTTTTCGAAGTCTCTGTAAGCTTAAAATTTTCTTGTTATTAGCTGCCAAAAATATGTAAAACTGTCAATTACAGTTGTCAAGGCCAAAAATAAAATTACAGTTCTAACTATGACACTAGTAACACTTACCATCACTGCAGTTTTCTCCTTGGAAATCCCAGGCACAAACACATTCAGAGCTCGCCGAACAAATTTTATGTTTATCGCATTTATTAAAATTCTCTCCAAGAACATCTGTACAGTGTACAGTATTTTCTCCAATGGTCAAAATTCCAGGTGTGTGTCTTATATAATTTAAATTAAAGCTTGTTTTAATATCGTTGTTTAATTCGTAACATATGGTGTTTTCTGTTCCTTCTTTTTTAGTATCATCTGAAAACAAGAAAATAAGTTAATGAAAAAATTCAATTCAAAGAAGATTTACAAAATTCTGTGGAATTGCTACAGAATTTAATATCCATCGCCCAGAATCCATCGACATTTTGATGAAATGTTTTTTTGAGAAATGATATTTTAATTGGTGTTGTTAAATCTATATCAATTTTGTCCATTTGCCAGAATTGTACATAATTTTTCTCTGGCCATGTTTGAAATATTCGATAACTTTTTTCGTTAATATAAACATCTAAAAAACATTCTGCACACTGTGACGTATATAAGAGTAAACATGTCTTTCCCTTTGGTTTGATTTCTAGAGTGGATGGTTCTTGACTTGTAGAATTTGACCACCAAAATATATCTGTAAACAAATCAAATTATCAAATTATATCAGAGAATATCGTCTAACGAACATTCATGTGGTCTCCAGAAAAGTTTCCCTTTGCTCTTTTGTGTAATTTGAGTAGCTATAAACTCTCCCGAATTTACAATCTCATTGTTTTTAATAATGAACGTTGAATTTTTATTTAGTACAATGCTGTAATGATTCCATGTGTCTTTGTCCAGTTCTCGATGATCAATTGAAATTGGGTCGTCATCATTAGTTAAGCGTATAATCCATTCCGTGTTTGAATACACCGAAAAGTAAAAAGAAAAGTCAAATTTTGTAGTGTTATTTAACTCCATTTTATTCAACGGGAAATCTACAACAAAATAATAGTTATTAATTGTTATAAGTAGAGAAACTTTATTCATTATAAGTAAGAGATGGGATTACAGAACAAGCGCGTAGAACTAGTTTAAGAATAGTATATTAAAGTACAAGTTGCAGAAGGTATCTATTCAAGCACAAATTTGAAATTCCGAAACGAGCCGCGTAGCGGCGAGTTGAGGCACAAATGAGTGCTTGAAGAACCTTCTGCAACAAGTGCTTTATACTATTTTTTGTATTTTGCCGCTTTATATTATTTTATGAATTAAAAAACGAAAATTTTTATCTTTTTTTCTAAAGAATTTTGCGACGGTTGGCGACATTTTTGTGGAATAATTTTAGGCGGCTGTACAAAATAAAAATTATTCTTATTTTCACATTTGAAAATGAATTGTGAAGAAAGTCCGTCACTAAAATTAAATTAACGCCAACGACTTATTCCAGCATTCAAATGACGTCATTTGGGTGCTGGAATAGACTTATTCCAACACCGAAATAGAAAAAAGTATTACCTACGCCAACTTTGCTTTCTGTGCTAAAAACAATGACGTTTTCTCTTATACGTACTTTCATAATTATTATAATAAAAAAGTGTATTGTACCCATTTTTTAATAATAGCAAAAAAGCTGTTAAATTGATCGATTTTGCGAATTCAGGTTTATTATTGCAGTCGAAAAGTTAAAAAAAATGTAAGACTAATAATAATAGTAATAATAATAATAATTTACTTTTATTTTAACGATTATCTTTCGATAGAAGATTGATAGAAGGACTTTTTTATTTTATTGTACTCATAAAATTATGCATAAAAATTTTAGTAAGGAATTTATAGATTAATTGTTATTAATGTTGGATTAAAACATACCTTCCCATCTTTTGTCAGTGATTTGTCCTACAGGTAAAGTTGTAGAGTTTTTCAACATCCATTCATTATTCCATTTTTCGTTAAATTCATCATTTACAATTTCTGGAGAATTTGTTTTTTTTCTCATTGGTAAAACATAAATAGCTGATCCCACATTTTCACTAATGCAGTATACATGTGATTTGTTTTTCACCGTTATAACATAACAATTCATTAAAGTAATTGTCATATATACGTATATTATACATATGAGAAAAGAAGATTTTTGATACATCTAAAACAGAGAAATAAAATCTGTAGTTCTACATAAAACTAGTGTTTTTTTTTTTCAATTAAAAGTTAATCACGTAGAATAATTTAAAAAAAAAGTGATATTCAGGGTTTTCCGTTTTTATTGTTACAAACTTAAACAGGTGATAGAATATTTAATTTTAAGACAAAAGTTTCCTATGAACATGTATCAAAAAATATACGTAAGCGAGCTACACCCCTTGAAAGAGATGCGTTTTTAATGGGGTTTTCCCACTATTGCAGAATAGTTAAAATTACAAAAGTTGGTACAGCTGAGTACTTTTAAACACCTGAACGAATTTAAAGATTAGTTGCCGAAAGTTTTAATCACAGGGCTCTTAAACGGTGAAACAAATTTAATTTTTAATTTTTTCCCTTTTTATGGTTTTATGCAAGACAAATCGTAAACTGATTTTACTCAAAAACGGTAAGTTTTATCGAAGAAACATAAGAGACCTCTTTTTAGTGAAAAACTATGATATTTAAAATTTTGTGGCCGAAAGTGGCAAAAACCAACCGCCAAAATAGTTACAGTACTTTTTACCCTAAATCCCTCAGTTTAGGACACCCCTGATTAACATTTTAACATTTTATCTTTGAATTTATTTGGGTGTATAAAGGTTATCAGTTGTACCAAATTTTGTAATTTTATCTACGATAGTTTCTGAAATATTGGAAAAAATCAATTAAAAGATGTGGTTTCCTTATATAAAATTTTTCGTTATACAGGGTTATTCATAAATATGAAGCAATATTTGAACCTCAAAAATGATATATAAAATGATGTTAATTTAAATAATAACTCGTATCCTATCTCTACTGATAAGAGTTTTACATCCCTCGGAATGTGGGTATGGAAATTTGATTTTTTTGTAGTAACTTTGAAACTATTTGACCAAATATTATAAAATTTGGAACATTTTAATAATATTTTTTTTTATAGGTCATTTTTGTGGTTCAAATATTGCTTCATATTTATGAATAACCCTGTATGTTTATAGGAAACTTTTATCTTAAAATTGAATATTCTATCACCTGGTAAAATTTGTAACAATAAAAATGGAACATCCTGTATATGTGGAAAAATGTGAAGAAAATATGTAGAAATAACATATCGAACCGTTTGAACTATTTTGTCATTAGAAGTGATGAAACAGAAGAGCTTTATCATCAGTATCATTAAATAGACATAAAAAAATGTCAAATGTCAAAAAATAAATGTCAAAAATTTTTGACAGATAAAATTTTTTAAACATTTTTTTTATGTTCCTGGTATCTTACCTTACTTGAAAATTTTCTCTGGGGCGCGAGTTCTGGCGCAACTGTATTTACCCCCAATACCTAGCGCTATCACAATGTCGCCACGTCGCGCGCTTACCTACGAGCCCAATTTCTTATTTTTTGAGTGTCGTATAATTTAGATAAGGCTGTCAAGGACTGACTTATTCTACGGTTGTGGGAGTTGATTGCGAGAAAATAAATCTTGATCACCGAACACAAGTAAAACTATCAAGTGATTTTTTTCTTTCTTTGCCGTGGATTAGTCTCCAATTACAAACAACTTTGAAATATATTCGTATGTAAGGAAGATGTACTTACCTTAATAAATTATGGCAGGCAATTGTTGTTTTTAATTACTTAAACGTTGATAAGGCTAATATCTATGTGATATCTCTAAAATGTGTTGTTGAGTTTTAACAATGGAGTAATTAAGACGCTTTAATATCGAGCGATCAAGATAATTTGTAATCGAGTCAACCTTGGATTCGAAAACGTATGTCTGTAAAATGTCAAGTAAAATGACAAGTCGAAAAGTAAAATGGCATGATCAAAAAGGTGATGATTATAATAACTAAATTTATAATTTACCTTCAAAAAAGAGCGGTCCTACTCGTATTATTATACGCCGGCGACTAATTCCAACCCATTTTGACCAATTTGAAATTACTCAAACGACAAAAAAACTAACATGATCTTGATATACGGAGAATGCCACAAAAATGCTATTTCTAAATTTGGACCGTCGAAAGTACACTGTCAAAGCTATCGCAAATACGAGTATTTATGTTTATTTTATTTTTTATTTGTTTATTTATAACTTTGAAAATTTTCAAACAGTACATCAAATAACGCATAATGGCATCTGAGAATGTGTTTTGGGTTGCGTCAGGGAAAATCGGTCAGGGTCTTTATTATACCTATGTGACTTATCTGTATTATGCAAAATAATCCAGATTTTGTATATCTTTGTGATTATTTTTATTTCAATTTGACATAACTGTAAAATCAAAAGTCGGGATATGCTTTTTGCTTGAAAAATGTTTTTTGCGTTAATTAGAGTTTAAGAATGTGAAGCTTGAGACGTAAATCTTCTCTGTTTTACTAAAATTAATAAAAAATGTATCTTTGAGACATAATTACGTTACTCATATTACCATACAACGTTTGTAAAAGCTATGAACGGAAAGAACATACAGTGAGGATTTTATTTCGCTGAACATCAACTCTATTAACCCTATCTTCAATTAAAAAACAAGTCATGTCAATGCATTACAAGCAATTACAACATATCCAAGCATCTAGCAACCCTTGCCACAATATTTGCCACATGGAAACGCATGTTCAGCGAAATAAAATTCTCACTGTATGTATTTAAATTTATATCATATTAACATTTTATGTTTAGTAACCAAATTATAAATTCCTTTCCTTAGCACAAAATAAATTCATTGCAACAATTTATATTAACCCAATGATATTAAATTCACATGTTTACTAAAATCGTAAGTAAAAATTTTTGGTGTTATAAAACCACCAGATCCTTTTCGTCCTTTATGAAAAAGTCCGACACCAGATAATGGTGTCGGAATTGTGCTGTTTACCGGCTGGGCGTCGAAGAATGGGACTGTCGTTTGACCGGCGTCTTTATGGTAGTCCGTATTTATAAACTCAATATACATATTTTCTGAGAAATCAGTGAAAGATTTTGTGCGAACAGGAATATCAGGTGACTTTAGGTTTACTTTATGTTTGAATCTACGAATTTGAAAAATTAGGAGAAATTGAGCCGAGTTGGTTATTTTACTTGTGTCGTATATCGAGGTTTGGTGTGCTTTTGAAAAAGCCCCAACTTGGAATTGCATCTAGTTTCCCAGTGTTAAAGTTGAATTCCGTTATCAGAACTTCTAAATCTAAACTACCAAAAGAAGTTTTTTTAAATCTAACACCTGTCACCACTGATCCTTCTTCAACTACAATTTCGGATAACTCTATACTTCGTTTTTCCCAAGAAATTGTATGGTAATCTTGTCCTTCATAAATATCTTTATCAATGGTTTTATAATTTTCGGGGGGTACCCATCGCACAGTTTTTGGATCGATATATCCCCTTTCGAGAAGTTTACCTTCTTGTACTTGCAAATGAATGATTTTATTGTGTTTAATGAATCTCAAACCGGTGACAACTCTAAAACATGATTATGAATTCTTTGTTTAAATAATAAATACAGAGCGCCCAGAAATGTGGTAGCAACTTTTACACAAAGTGTCACAAGATGGCACTTTCGAAAAGCCAAATTTGTTTAATCTTACATTGAATTTTTTCAAGAGTTATTTTCCTAACAATCTTTACCCCCGATTTATGCACTAAAAGTTGTCAAGATGTTGCTTGAAGGATTCATTTATGCATTGAGAGTAATGGGGGTGAATTTTGAACATTTTCAATAAAATTTTAAATTTGAATGTTTTACGTTTGACAATTTTCGACATTTATTTATCTCAGTTTGGATAGCGGCGTTGCCATGCATAAAAAAGGTCTCTGTAAAAAAGTGTCATCTTGCGGGACCAATTGAAAAACTTGCTACCACATTTCTGGGCGCTCTGTATAATACGAAATGTTACCTGTTATCGCTTATATTTGCCATACTAATTCGTAAATTAATGTATCTATCAGACATATATCTAGGGCCTTCATCACACAAACAAAAACAATAAGAACATTTATAAATTAACCATTCTCTGTAAGTTGTAAGAGTTTTTGTATTACTAGGGCATGATTGTTTATTTCCAAAAAAATTTCCATTCCCAAACTCTATGTAGTGATATCTTCTGTTTTCTTTAGACATACTCTTAAAGACACAGTTGTGGTACTTAAGAAAGTAAGATCGTAGTACTTACATCAGTAGGACACACTTCCAGTTTTGAATCAATGTATTCACAACTAATGATTTTGGAACAACGAAAATCTTCACACCAGTTTGCATCACAAAAGTAAGATACTTCTGTCATTTTAAAAAAATCACATTCATCTACGCATAGTCCTTGTGGGTTCAAATTTTTTTTGTTAATTATGTAACCATGAAGAAAGTTAGTAATTTCTACGTATGTTGTGTCTATAAATATTGTTGAATTTTTGTTTGGAGGTAATTACAAGTTTCATATACAGTATGTCCCCGGATTGGGTTTACAAGAGGAAAAAAAATTTTATCTTTGATTTTACGCCAAAACTGCAAAGGAAAAAAGTTTTTGCTTTACTTGAAACCAGCAAATCTGTAATTAAAACTGCATTATTCTAACTCAGTAGAAAGAAAAGTTTATTTTTTTTCTTGATTTTGGACTTGGAATAATCTTTCTCTGCTTTTTAAGTCCTATCACATTGGCGGTCTTATTATTTTGACAATGATGTCACTTTGGCAAATGAATTTACGCAAATTAAATAACAAAAAATTTTGTGAAAAACATAATTTTAATAAACAGCAACTCGAAGGTATAAACCAAAGTCATTTTTAACAAGTACTGTCATTATTTAATTAATAAATTAATTGTCAAAGTGACATATAGTTGTCAAATAATTAAAACCGCCAATGTGATAAGACTTAAAAAGCAGAGAAAAAGTCCAAGATCAAAAGAAAAATGAATTCTTCTTTCTACTGAAAGATAAAAGTTTTTTTCCTCTTGTAAACCCAATCCGGCGACATACTGTATGTCTAAATCTTAAGGCGTTATTCTTTTATACAAGTTAATTAACTTATATTGCAGTAGCATCGAACAAATTAATGATACAGCGTGTCTAAAAAAAACATTGAATTATTTTGGGAGGTGGTTTCCAAGGTCAAAATAAGAAAAAAAAATCTTATAGACCTATGTCTGGAAATGTTTCCTAAGGAATATGAAAAAACTCACTGCGTGGGTTGCTTTCAGAATTAAGGTCGGTAAAGACCATGGTTAGCCATTCGCACATTTGTGGGGATGCATATAATTTTTTAGGGTACTGAATTAGTAACTAGCGTTTACATAGTTACAAACGCGTTATGAACTTGAAGAAAGAATAAAAGTTACATTATTGCTGAAGAAAGTATTTTAAATTTTAATACATCTTTTGATAATGATTCTTGCTAACATTTTCATAACAAATATTTAAAATTTTATTGGTACATCAAACATCATTAAACTTTATGGACTTTTGTTTGTGGTCCACTTGGTGGAGTTTGAAGACAATAATTTACGCTTTTACTATCGATAATAAATTGTCAACGCTCAAAATGCACAAATGCAAACAAGGTTTTCACTTATCTTATGTAATGTACTGGTTATTTTTAAAGGAATACTTGAGATTAGGAAGGGCTCCTGCGCAAGAATGATTAGCAATGATTAGGGGCGTATTCAAATTTAAAATACTTTCTTCAGTGACATTGTTACATTTATTCTTTCTTGGAATTCATAATCATATAAAACAGTAACTTAATTTAGTAACTAGTGTGCGGACAAATAGCGATTGTGCTATTCGTCCACACATTTGTACGGACGGAGTGCTCAAAATTATATTTGTTCGCACAAAAGTGCAGACGGCTAACGACGGCGTTTAAGAAAAGCTTGTTGTTCTCGAAAATGGTGCATCGTACAAAAATAACACAAGAAACATTTTTTGTAGACGATTAGCTAATAAGGCCGAATCTGTCAGAAGAAACAAAAAAATTTTGTCCACAGCAACATTTTACGCCTTAAATAGATTGACTCTATAAAAATCGAAAAACTAGTTTGAAAATAAGCAAAAAAAAAGATAATTGCAGTTGCAGGGTTTTAAAACCATTAGGAATTAGACAAATAAGAAAACGTCCAGATACCTTTAACGTGCTTATGGGGATCACATCTCCACAATTCTCTTGATGGTTGTTCAGCATAAGGCTTCATAATCATTGCTATTATGTTGTTGTTGTTTATGATAAATCGATTTCTACTTTTTTTAAGGTTTTCACCAACATCAGCTTTAAAAAATTACATTAACATTTTGTTGTTTCTTATTTACCTGCAAGTACCTTGTTCATATAAATAAGTTAATGATACTGTAAGACGTCTGTTCAATAATATACGTTTTGCAAATTATTAATAATAGAATATTAAATAAATTGTAAAATACTTGTTGTGGTGATTGATATACCATACAGAAATCCTCGTTATGCTGTATCAAAGTTTATAAAGTTCATTGTAGTTTATTATAATAATATACAGGGTGATTGTTTTAAAACGAGCCACCTTGGATATCTCAGAAAATAAACAAAAATTAAAAAATTCCGAGACAGGTCAGTTAATAATTTTTTGACATTTGGTTACTGTCAATAAACGCAGACGACGTTTCTGAGCTATCCTTGTACTTATATAGTAATTTGTTCTGCTAGATCTTGTTCCGGGTAACGTAAATAAAAAATACTCAAAACTCCAACAAAAATTTCTGATTAAAATATCTTCCATTTATCACAAAAGAGGTGGTGCCATTTAAGATTTCAAAGGGGTTGTTTCATGAACCTAGTATAGTAAATAGTATAGTAAATACTATCTCCATGGGTTGTTTGTATTACAAAGGGGGTTAATGTTGCAACTTTCAAAAGTACACTAAAAGGTGTCCTCCTGTAAATAAAAATTGACCTGTCTCGGGATTTTATAGTTTTTGTTATTTATGCAGATACCCAGGGTGGCTCACTTTAAAAAATCACCTTTTATAAGTAACTTACCGTCAGTCTTTTTAGAAATGGATCTAAAAAATCTGTGCTTGTTAGTTGAGTATAAATTGATTGTACTAAATTTGTAACTGACAAATTATTATTTGTTGAAGTTATGTTTTTAGCGTTAGCTAGTAAAACCGAACTTTCTATTTCTTTATGATGTTTGACAAAATTTACCATTTTATCAAAATAATTGTCAAGCAAACTTATTGTTTCAACAGGTAAATCACTTGAAGGCGAATTAATTATATTGAAACTTTGTTCTAAAAATGAGTTAAGTTTAAATTTTGTTAAATTCTTTTGGCTCAAAAACATACCATCTTCGTAAAGTGTTCCGTGCAGTCCTTTAATTTTAAAGTAAATAGCATCCAGTGTAATGAAGATATTTTCTTATTTCTTCTGGTGTGACATATGATCATCATCATTGATGGTTTTGAAAAATTCTGTTAGGTTTTTTGCTATTTCAACGACTTCGTGAGTTAATTGAGGAGGAGTCAACCCTGCAATAAATTTTAGTCGTGATTGTAAAACAATATAAGCTGCAAACAAGTATAAGAAATTCATTATTAAGAAAGATTTTGCACACTATGGTAATAAAAGCGGATCATGTATTATTTGCTATCAATTTTATCAATTATGAAATAGATAAGGCGTAACTACAAATATGTACTTTTAATATTTATCTTCATGTCGCAAAACAAACTTTAAAATTTTATTTGTCTATCTTGACTATAACATTCAAAAATCACATTTTTATAAACAATATATGGTCGTAGGTCATCTGAAAAACGGTCTCTGGTTTAATATCAACAATTCAGTGTCCCTAATAGTTTTCTTTTTGAAACCTGAATTTAAAACTTGCAATTTCTTTTTTTGCATAGTTATTATGAAAGTTGAATTTTCATCACGATTAATCGTATAGAAAGTTATACTTTTTTAAACGATTTATATAGTTATATTTCTATAGTTTCTATAGAGTTCGTTACAAAGAGATTTATCAAATTGATATCTTTTTAGTCTTTGGGGTTCTTGGAGTTATCACTATGCAAAAAAATGTTGTGTACAACTCGTTTTGAAAGTTTTTTTTCCACTCTTTTGCAGAGGGCAGAGCCCTCGTTAATCAACTTCAGATTCGTGAAAAAAAAGTATGACTTTCAAAACTAGTTGTACAAATAACTATTAGAATACTGATTTCACATATCATTTCTAGTTATAAAAAACATGTGATACATTTGCTTTTCCTTTTTCCAAACATAATTCAGTCACTAATAACAAAGTTGTTGGGTGACAATTTTAAAAATTGCAATCGGCAATATCTTTAGAACTGAAAAAGTTATTGAGAATCACTCAAAACCGTTTCGGTGGTTTCTAGGAGGAATCAAAAGAATCAAAATGACATGATAAGTGATACACCTCTACCCACCCTTGAAACCTCAGCCACCTCAAGTTGAAAATATTAAGGTATTTGCTCGTTTCATGTGAAGTAAAAAATGTTTTTCCTTTGCAGTTTTGGCGTAAAATTAAAGATAATGTTTTTTTATAAAACATAATATAATTATTTTAATAAAATTAATACATTCATACCTACATCTCTTTCCTCAAATGTAAATAAAATTTGTGGTTTATTTTTGATTTTGAGTTAAAATTAAGTATTCTCAAAAATTTGCTATTACTTTTTCATTAGTTTGGTTTTAATATTGTATTTCTTTATATACAAAATCTTTTGCAAAATCATATAACACTTTTGTAATCAATAATTATTAAAATGTTACCTATTTTTTAATTTAGAAAATGAAGTAATATTAATGTTAATAATTTAAACAGTAGCACCTAATTCAAAAAATATCAATTTACTCATTAATAAGCAAAGCAAAAGTTAAAAAAAACAATAAGATATTACTTTTTTTCAATTCACAATTTTGTTGTTACATGAAAAAGTTATACCTAACCAGGGACCTGTTTTTGTAATTACATATTATCCATCAAATGGCATGAAATGGCTCGTCAAAATTAAAGGTCAAAAAATTATAAAAAAAAATATCAATGCTATACAGAAAAGTTGATTATCGGTTGATGATTGAACAAGTTTGTTAAAAATTTTAATAAATCTTGTCCTGTTGGTTTTAAATAGATCAGAGTTTTAACATTTTGCATCCACTTGCCTAGCCGAAGCCGGGTCTAATAAGAATTTTATTATTTTATGATCGTATTATTTCTACCCTTCGGTGCTTGTTTACTTAACTGCTGAAGGTCAAGAACCACCGAAATGAGTGATTCTCAATAACTTTTTCAGTTCTAGAGATATTGCCGATTGCAACTTTTAAAATTTACACACTATGTGTGATTATAGCTATCATAATATCTTATCTGTTTTTAGTTGATGTAGTGGAAAATTTCAGTTATATAGTAATAATTTGACATGAATTTAGTTTCTAAGTCTTGCGACCAAACTTTGCTTTTGTTAGTTTTACTTAGTGTGAAAGTTTCACCAGAAGTTATCACATTAATTAAAGGAAACAATCTAACTTGTCTTTTAGTCGAGGATTCCATTTACTCAGCCATATACATCACACCATCAGAATCAACATGTAATGGAATAAAATTTATGTTTACAGTTTATACTTAATGATTTTTTTCATTTTTAGATCAACAGCGAAGTCTGAACGAAATAAGTATTAATTTAGACAAAGAATGGGTCTCAATAAATGCTCACCAATTAACGTTTGCTCCTGTTACAGACCTACGATGGCAAAGTAAATATGTTATACGTTGTTTATTAATGTCGAGATGAATTTCTTTTTCTAATTGTGATTCAACTTGAACCAAAGTTTATAGCTATTAATATAACGAGAATAATTAAGCGATTTATAATAATCGAGGGGGATGCTAGATGACGAGGCTAGCCGAGTCACCTCCGCTTCGTCCGAGATGGATTAAATCGCTAATATTCGAGTTATATTGAAGGTTTTATCGTATCATCTACTTACCTTGTGGAAACATTTTAGATTTGCAAGATAATCGAGTAAATAGAGGCAATGTGTCAAATTCGGTGTCAAAAACTGAAAGATCAATGGAATGTTTACTATGATTTTGTGCCTAATATATTTTGAGTTGGTATCTAACGTATAATGTCTCGTAAGGAACGTATTAAGCGAACATAATAGATGATGATACGATAAAATACATAATAAGAAAAATAAGAATAAATAAATAAAAGGTCTAAAAATGTTTTTAACTCGGTATATCTCGGTAATTAAGAAAGTTTTGCTACTTTTTTTTCACTATTAATTTATTAATGATATTATGTATTTGGCATAACTTGTCATTTCCTTATATTGTGTGTATAAGTTAAGACTCACTCTGTATAAAAGTTATATGTGCTGTATTGTTGTACACATAGGGTGTTTTATTTAAGATTTTAAAAGTATTGGGAGTAATTCATCTTTCATATTTAAAAGCCAAGGACACTCCTTCTCCGTGTACACGGACCGTATCTTGAATTTCGAAATTTCTGAAAAAGAATTACTAGGTTTGAAAAGACAGTTTACATTTCCTGACAGAAATGTAAGAATAAAATTACATAGAAGAAAAAAAATAATTTTAGTAAATAGCTACCGAAAAAACAGTGGATTCATTTTACCACATTAGTCAAGCATAATACCGTAGAGTTATTGGAAAATGGAATACCGTTTAAAAAAGTTAATCTCTTGTTTAAACCATATGCTATAAAACTTCTTCAGGGCACTCTTAAATATCATGATTGTAAGAAACGCATATCAAAATATTACTAATGGTAATAATACTTCAATTCATTTTCTAGATAAATTTCAATACTCCAATCAAACCAACGTTGACGCTGCGACGGTTTATGATTTAACATTCCTCGAAAATGTTAAATGTATCTCAATGTTTGTATCTGTCGACAAACATTGTCATTTAGATATTGTCTTAAAATCAGGTAATAAAAGTACTACTGAACATGTTGAAGGGTTTAATGAAGAACATTCCTTAAAAAAATGGATCCGAAAAGAAATAAAATTAGATATTTCCGGAAATGCAACTCTGACATTAATAAAAAACCGTAAAGATGGTAATACAGCTGGTTTTTGGGCAATTGATAAAATACATTACTGTAAAGAACAAGGTTTGTGGAATGTTTTAAAGCGTAATGTTTATAATTTCTTTCTGATGGTTTCATTCAGCTGAATTAAATTTATATGATAAAAATTTCATGTACATTTGCAAAATTAAATTCACCCAAGGAAATCATCAGAATTTGCGTGGTGTACGGTTTAAATTTGGTGTTTCAGTAACTAGTACTTTTTAAAATTTTAGATAGTTTCTCGTTAGAAGCTCTTTCACCTGATGTTGAATATATTTGCAATGAATTATATCCAACAAATAAAACTGGATCTGTTTTTGAAATATTACAATCATCTGACTATTTCGGAAAAGAGTACAAAATAAGCTGCAATATTTCAGAAGAAAAATATCTGGATTGTAAACATCATAAGATATGCGTGAAAAATAAATGTTGTTGCGCTTATAAAAAATCGTCTTATAGAAAAAGTATAATTGAGTACCTACTATAAAATCAATTCACTGACAAACAAAAATTTTGTTTCAGCTTGTTCGGAAACTGATACTATATCTGCTGAATCAGTCACCTCAAGTATTTTTTTAAATTTAATTTAATCCTAGTTATTAAACAATATGCCTTTGCAGTTTCACAATCTTCTATTCCGCCACTTATGATTACTAGTTTTAGTGATGTGAACTACAACATGAATAATAAGACTAAGAACATGGTAAGGAAAAAATATTGTGATAACAAAAGGGAGGGAATTGCTTTATAAAAAAGAATATTTTTAAGGAATTACAATCTAAATTGAAAAGGTTATTGAAATATATAACTAATCCATGGGAGACAGGTCTAAATTCATTGGAATAAAATTATAATATATTAATTGACCTTTCATATTTCAGAGTGTTTATTGCCAAATATTGTAATATCTTCTAAAAATAAAGAACTTGTACTGCAATGTTCACAGAAAAATAAAAAATCAGAAACATTGATTGTGCTTTACATCATTACAAAGGATGATGGAAATTTACGAACATCTAAAATGAGCGTTGGAGTAGAACATAATAAAACGGTATAGTCCTTAAAATCGATTCCTAAGGTTGAGGGGTTGCCCAGGAGTGGTACCAAAAGTACCACCAGTCATACAGTAGTAGTGATAATGTTTTAATAAAACGTTATAACTGCTACTATGTGGCAAGACTTTGATACACAATGAATAAAAGTTGCTCGGGTGCTGCTCGACAACACATTGAAAAAAGCATAGCATGAGGGTGTGTCAAGCAAATATAAGCACTCATCCTCATGCTATTCAATACCGCAGTTAGAATACTTTACTGTTGATGATATCGTGAGTCTAAAAAACGTTTTAAAAATTTCATGTCATAAACTACATATTTGTATGGTTTATATTTTTAACTTGAGTCTTTGTATGCAGTATATACCGGATGAATCAAGTTGTATCTGCAGCCCAAAAACACCTCTTTCTACTAAAACTAATATTGTAAATAAATTCTAATTCAATTTTTAAATTGTTTACTTTTACGGTTATTAACTTTTGCTTAATTGATAATAATTGAGGAAAAAAGCTTGTGTCTTTGTTTGATTCACAAGAATTTGTGCTGTCTCAAACTAAAGAAAATTTTGATGTGGACATTTCACTCTTTTTTTTTCCATATTGGAAAAGGTGTTAAATGACTGCGGATAAGACTTGGCTCGCCCTCTGTAATTTGGAAGTAAGATTTGTGTGGAATCGTATGAACAATACCATGTTTTAAATAAGCTACTGATCAATGTCTGTGACTTTAAATAATTGTGTCTACATCACAAGCTTCATTGATCAGAATTTTTAAAGCATCGTATAAGCATTTATACTAATACTAATTAGATTTCAGTTGATTATAATCACGAATATACGATTATCTGGTCAATTGAAGGGTGCAAAAATGCGACATTTAACGTGACCGTTTTCTCTTCCATAAGGAAGCTTTCCCAGAAACCAGTTACAGAAATTTGCTCAGAGAGATGCACTCTTTTACTTCCCGTTTTTAGTAACATTAGTAAATATATTGTTGATATATTGGTTATAAAAAGATATAGAACCTACAACACCACGTTGTTGTTTGAAACATACAATTCTATGAAAAATAATAATGGCCTGCAGAAAGAAGGATGGATTGTCAACTCGACACAATGGACAAGAGTTACAATTGACAATCAGACAGATGCAGTATACATAAATATAAATCACAGTAGTGCAGTTTTCGTAAAAAATCAAACTTTTATTAATTACGTTGTTTTAAATGACAGAAAAGAATTAACTATGTATCCTATAACATTTGATTGGGATGAAAGAAATGAAGAAAACACATCTCTGGAAATCACGATTATCGCATTTGTAGTTCCACAGTTATTTATTTTTATGACAGTTATAGTCATTTTTCACAAACAAATTAAGAAAATATGTTTCAAAACTAGTTTAGAAAGCACTGAAAGCAGGTCCGAAAGTGTACCACTACAAAGTATTGTAATTAACAGTGAAGATATCAGAAATATTAAAAAAGAAAACTTTATAGAAGTTTTAAAGTGCAAATTAGAGAAAAACGAATTAGAAGAAGAGTTTCTGGTAAGTAATTTTATTAAATTGTACATGAAAATATGTAATACATTGTTTTTATTTTCTAGACACTTCCAAGTGTCACGGACAAAACAACGTGGGAAGCAATAAGAAGCTTAAACAAAAATAAAAATAGAGATTTTAAACTACATAATTTTCCATGTAATATACAAAATGCTGAAATTCTAAATTACTCTTTTTAAATTTGTTCTAGATGATCATAATAGGGTTATTCTTAAAGAACTGGAAGGAGTGGGAACAAACGATTATATAAATGCTAGTTATATTAATGTAACTTTATAAACAAGTCATAACATTTTTAATGAAAAATTTTTTTTAGGGTTTCGATCGTTCCAAGGCCTATATAGCTAGTCAAGGACCAAAATTTTTTACACTACGAGATTTCTGGAGGATGATTTGGCAAGAGAATATAGAATCAATTGTAATGGCTACCAATTTCATGAATGACAGTGGGAATAAAGTTAGAATTATTTTTTTCTTATCATATGATAAATACATCGTTTTCTGTTTTCAGAGACTGTGTGCTGAATATTTACCTGCAAATGTAGATTCAATTTTTGAGTGCGGCAGCATAACTGTTACGCTAGTTAGTGAACAAAAATATGAATATTATGTCAAAAGAAAATTAATAGTTCGTTATTTCGAGTTCGAACGAGAAATTTCCCATATTCACATTAAATGGCCATCTGATAATTTTTTTCTGTATCCAAATGATTTAATGCCCGCAATTAAACAAATAAGAAAAATGTACGAAAAAAGCTTGCATCCAATCTTAATCCATTCTGGGTATCTAAAACTAATTACATGAAAAGCACTTACTAATGTTTTTTTTCAGATTTGGTACTACAAGAACAGGAATATTAATTTTATGTGATATGGCGCTAGAAATGCTTAAACTTGGTAATACAATTAATATTTACTACTTAACTAAGAATTTGAGAGAACAAAGACGCAACATTATTAATTCATCGGTATAAAAATATAGTATTTGCATGTTTGTAGATTAAAAAAATGATTTTAGAGACAATACATTTTAGTTCACTTAATAATATTGGAATATATAATGAAAGAAAAATATTTTTCATTCAGTACTAGTATCAATGATCATCTTCAAGACCGAAATTATAAAAATCAGTTGAAATACATCAAAATATTATGTGATTATGATAAAATTGTTCGATCTTGGTTGCCAGAAGGTCCAGAATACAATCTTCCCATAGTATTTGGTAATTATAATACACAAATACACATAACGGGCGTTTATTTAAATTTAGCGTCATAGTTGGCATAAGTGTATTGTGAACGGATCACAATTTTTAATACGTCCGGCGAAATACCAAATTATTGTCAAATTAATAACTTTCAATGCAATAGTTCGTTTACAATCAGATTTTCATGGATAGCTTTAACGCCAAATTAAAAAAGACACCCGTTAGGTGTATTTGTGACCAAAACTTAAACCATAAACCAAAATTATAAACCAAAATAATAATTTAACAATTTTAAGCTGATGGCTATGGAAAGTATGAAAAATATATAGTGTCACAACAGCTAAACAAAAATGATGTTAATACGTTCTGGATATTAATTGCTGATAAGTGTGTAAGTTGTGTCGTGCTTCTAAACAAAATAAAAAAAAATGTAAGTACCTAGGTATTAGTTTATATTATTTTTTTTCTATTTCGGTGTTAGAATAAGTCTAATTTAATTTTAGTGACGGACTTTCTCCACAATTCATTTTCAAATGTGAAAATAAGAATAATTTTTATTTTTTACAGCCGCCTAAAATTATTCTACACATAAATGTCGCCAACCGTCGCAAAATTCTCTAGAAAAAAAAATTTTTTTCGTTTTTTAATTTATAAAATGATATAAAACGGCGAAATAGAAAAAATATATAAAGTACTTGTTGCAGAAGGTTCTTCAAGCACTCCTTTGTTCCTCAACTCGCCGCTTCGCGGCTCGTTTCGGAATTTCGCATTTGTACTTGAATACCTTCTGCAACTTGTACTTTAATATACTATTCTAACACTAATATCTTATACTGTTTCATGAGCCTGACCAAATTCTTGATGCAATCACCATTACACTTTCGCAAGTTGCTTTGCGACACTTTAAAAAAATATATAATTTGAATCCACGATGCCATTATTATCATCAATTATCGTCATTGTCATTTTTGACAAACGTTACAAATTGGTTATGAACTGAGCAAAATATGGACTTATTCCAATGATGAGAAGACTGACATAATTTTATCTTATGGAGAATGATTGAAAAATGCATCTCTTGTTTTCTGTGTGATGCCCAATGATATCCCGAAAGAAAGAGCATCTTCTGACACAATCAGGTTAGTTTTGAGAAAATTGGGTTCCTGTTAAGTTATCAAGACGAAGGGTACCACAGGATGAAACTTGAATGAGTGGCTTTCGTAATTCGTTTTTTATATACTTACCCATTATTGTGTTGGTGTTTCAATTACTTCTATTTTTCATTATTTTAATGTCAAAAGTGACAAATTGTAAGTGTGCTCGCTATGATTTTATATTTATTACAAAAAATCTTTGAAATCCACCTGACCTATGAAAATGTAATGTTGATTGCATCGAGAATTTGGTATTTTATAAGAGTGTACAATTATGTACTTATAAAATACAATGATGTGGGCATTTTGTCTGTTTTCACATACTTTATTATAACAATTTCTGAATTTAGTAAAATTCCTCATCCAATAATATTAGTGTAGGAAAAAAAATTGAAGACAACACAAGTTCTATAGTTTAAAACTCTTATTGTCTTAATAGCTAATTTAATTATTAAAATTAGGTCAGAAATCGTTTTTGTATTTGGTAGGAGTGTATAGTAATAAGTGTAATAAGTAATAACCACGAGGGTAGTAGTAGTATTGTGATTGTGAATTTTTTATTTCACATTTGTGTTGGTGATAAAAAAATTAAATTGATGACGCACAAAACTACCGTTGTAAATACGATAATAGTTCTAGTATAAAAAATTAATCATTATAATTAATTTAAACATCTAAATACAACATAATTAGTTTCAGTTGTACCCTTGCAGAAATACATATGAAGATCTTGTTATTAAAGTAGAATGTATAAATACCAAAGAAGTTTGCAGTTATGTCTTAAGAACAATGTCTTTGTTAATTTATAACAAAACTTCTAAAATAGTAAGTTATCTGCATATTACAGTGTTTTTCTATTGGTTTTCCTCTTTTGTCAAATGTAATTCACTATTTCTCAAAACTATTTCATTTGATATATTAATGTCAAAGCGACGTAGGTGGGAAATAGTTTTGAGAAATAGTGAAATACATTTGACAAAAGATGAAAACCAAAAGAAAAACACTGTAATACAATGAACTAGGCTAGAGAAACATTTTCAGATAAAACATCAAAAAAATATTGTAATTTACGAGCTTAAAGAGGACACAAAACAATCACCAAATTTTGCTAATAATATTTTGCAATTAATATGTGAAGTTAAGAAGTATAATAAAATTATTGTTCCTTGCAGGTTCGACAGCTTTTGTGTGTTTATTGTACATAATATTTTTTTTATTTCAAATTTTTAGTGATAGAATTACGATGTGTGGGGTATTTTTAGTATTAGCTTACATAATAGAAAAGTACGAAACAGAACTTAAAATCGATGTAGGCAATGCCATACGTGTTGCAAGAAGAAGTGGAATTCAGTTTGTTAATTCTCCGGTAAATACAACGTGAAATTGAAATATGTACACAGAAATATTAAAATTGAAAAAGATTTAGAGTAGAATATATGGCATTAAAATTAACTTCAGTGTGAGATTTAAAAAATTAAAATTTAGCTTTTTCCATCGCTGCCTCGGCGCTCATTAAAATATGTCTGTGTATTTCAATTTCAAATTATATTTATACATATTAATACCTTTTTTTCAGGAACAAGTAAAACTTATACACTTATGCATTGGTGAATATTTGGAAAATTTTGAACGTTATAAACTTATTAACTAAGTCGCAACATTTTTTTAGTAAAATACTTGATATTAGTTTTAATTAAACATGTTACAAGTGGTTTTATAAAAAGGGGACAAGCTAATTTACACCTTGTAAAGCTGACGACTAATGAGTGACGAAAATTGTCAATTAATTATTGACACCGTTAATTATCACTTATAAAACCCCGAGTGTGTTGATTGTTTCCAGAATTTTTTTCAAATGATTGTCAAAAACGTGATTAATTAGTTCGAGCGGAAAAAAGACAAAAAAATGTACTGTGCTAACCCGGCGCATCCACCAAAAGTTGAACATAAATCTAATGAAGTTATTGGTAGGTTAAAAAAAAACATCGAAAAAAATAAATTTGTTTATTAAACAAACCAACGAGTAATAGTTAATAGTCGATTAATGTACATAGGAAGAGCACCACAAAATTTTTTAAGTGATAAACAATACAATGACCTTAACCTGTCTCCTAAACCCGTTCTTCTAAATTATCACAATCTTTACACCACGACAGCGGTTTTATTAACATTTGTAAAACTCCATTTCTGGAAAATACTATCGGCACACTTTTCCACAACGACTCCTTTTCCATTTTCCACTCCAGCACTGCTTAGACATTTCCCAGAAGTCGGATTATAAATGGTTCCGTTTTTATAAAATATCCAAAATTGTTCCCGTTTATGACCATGACATTCCGTCAACTGTACTTCTCGAACACCGAACGTTTCGGCACAAAAATTCTCCTTCCTCAGCTCCCCTTTGAAACTCAAAGAGAAATACTGCGACATTGCCAAGTATGGGTGACACTGGTACAGACCCAATGGGCCAATTTTATCCTCCCCTAATTGTAAATCATCCAGACACATCCCGTAATCATTTTGGACTTGTCCATGGGCGTAGACATTCTCATCCGGGATGAATTTCTCCGGATAGACATTTTCCAAATACCATTTGAAACTCTTACATCTCAATTTTTGCCTCAACTGTTTCCGGTGTGTCAAATCCCCGACCACTGGATTATTCTCCAACGCTGGTTGGTACATAAAAAAAAATCTTTTATAATCATCCATCCATACATGGGCAAGTCTCGCTGTATTAATCCCATGGGTGTCTTTATTATCCGGGAAGGAATATGGGTGAAAATCTCGGAAAATATGTCCAACTCTGGAACAAGGCACCGTTTCTAGTCGCCCCCCACATTGCCAAATCCGAAAACTCATTTCCAGATTCTCCCCACCCCAACCATCCATCTGCTCATCATATGATCCAATCTCCCAGAAGAATTTCCGATCTATGGCAAACAATCCTCCGGCCATTGTGGGCGATTTCACCGGAGTCAACTTGTATTTATCTTCGTCGTTCTGGATGTCGATCCAGGTGAAATGACCCGACCATGAAAAACCACCCACTTGGTACGACGTGTCCCCATTGGTCGAATAAGCTAAAGTGTTGGCTTCAATCACATCGATGATTGGTACAAGAACAGCGGTGTGGTCTTGCTCAATGCGGGACAAAAGGGGCTGCATCCAATCAGTGGTGGCTTCACAATGGGCGTCAAGGAAGACAAGGACATCCCCAGTGGCGATACGGGCCCCCTGGAGGCGAGCACGAATCAGACCCATGCGGGATTTGAGGTGGATGAGCCGGATGCTGGTGGTTGAGAGACGAGTTTCGATGTAGTAGTCGAGGAGGCCCTTGAGGGTCTCTATTTAAAGAAAAAATAAAAAATCAGACCACTGTGATCGCAATTTCACACAGGCGTATATATTTGGTTGCATACTCTAGAAGTTTTTCCAAAAAATATTACAAATCAAAGAAAAAAAGTCAAAAGAGTAAAGTGACGCTTCTCTCTGTTTGATCTAATGTTGCCAATTTAATTTAATAGCATATTCGCTTAGTTGTTTCAACATTTGTTTTTCATTTTCAAGAAAAATTGAATAATTACAGGTCAAGAAACTCGTTCAAAGTTTTTATGTTGTCTGTAACAAAATTTCAACAAGAAAAAGTGAAATATTAGGAGCAAATAGTGATTGTTTAACAATTTACAGTTAATTAATTATTCATTTCAACTGTAAAAAAATAATTAGCGATTCTTCTTTCTATTTTATGAATAAAACATTTTCTCAAAGTTTCCTTAATTATAATTTAAAAAAATACCCTCAGTGCTCGCATCGTCCACAAGAATGATTTCCTGCAGCAGGTCCTTGGGCGTTTGTAAAATGACGCTCCAGACCGTCCTCAAAATAACGCTCAAAAGCTCGTTATAAAATATCACAACAACAGAGGCTTTCAGTTTTGGATTATAAGTAAAAGTCTTGCATCTAAAAATAAAGTTTAGCAAACGAGTTTAAAAAAATTGTAGGTTTACTTGGGGTTCCTTGGGTCCCTTAATTTTCTATCTAATGGCATCCTGTCGCTCAGGACCGTATTTAGTGCATATTTCTTCAAAGCCTTTTCTCCGTCTTTGGCATCCTGGCTCTCCAAAAACGCCGCTTCACCGTTGTGCCCCAAATTCGGGATGATCCTCCTTTCATAATCTCTGATTCGTTTCTCGTAAACTGAGGCTAATTTCGATACAGGTTTCGGAGTTTTTTCGTTGAAATGTCGTAAATAGAGGAGCAAAATTGCGATAATAAACACTGTTATAAAAACTTTCAAATAGACGCGTTTAATTCGGGGACATTTTAATAACATTATTTGGACACTTTTGAGCCAATTCTCACTATCAATCAACGCATATTGTTAACTAAGTGTGTGCTACTTATCTAGGAAAAAAATTGACTTGTTGGCACTTGACTAAATTCAAATTTCGGCATTAATCAACATTATAGGACACGATTGAGTAGAATGTAACTCACTGATTACGAAAAAATACGTCTCTAGTGTGTTTTTAGTCAAAAATTTCAAAAAAACACGAGTGAAAAAAACTGAAAATTTTGAGGTTACGTCACCGGCTTGACGTTTACATCACTGTTGCCAACATAACATCTGACTTTTCGCATCCGGTTCCTAATTAGTAACTTTAATAAACGGAATAAACCTCTCCTAGTTTTTTTTTAATTAAAATCGGTCACGTCCGCTGAAATGTGACTCGAACCCGTCCATAAAATCACGTTTCTATTCATAGAAATCAATTTTCCGTCATGATCAAGCATGTGTTGGCGGCGTTTGCGCATTGCAATTGTTTTGTGTGTGTCATTTCTGTCATTTTTAATGGCGGAATGTTTGTAATTAAAATAATTGTAAAATGAATAATTGTGAGTGTTTGTGTTGGGAGCGGTGTTTCCGGTGAGTGGCGTCGCGACGCTTGCGATAGACAGGGCCGGACTCGCCCCGCTATAAAACTTTAATTGAAATTGGTTTTGTCGGTGATTTACGGGGCGGGTAGGGCGCCTCTTTAACGTCTTAATTAAACTGTTTTGATTAAAAAGCCGGGTTTGTCTTCGGTAATAAAAAAATCGTTAATTTAATTCGAAAGGGGATGAGTTGATTAATGTTTGTTGCGATATCTATAACAGGAAGTTAAATTAATTGAAATCATGAGGGGGCTCAGGTCTTCGTGGTTTAATTAAGAACGACACCTGCTGTGCTAGGAGAGTCATGAGAATTGCACGATTTGGTCTAGTTGGCTGGGAGAAAAATGAAAGTCGAAATGTCATTTTTTCACAGCCAACTGGGGCAATCTAAAACTCGTTTCAATTTGTTATCATTCGAGGTTGGTATTACTGCACATCATATACTGACAGTCTTGCCAACAATGTCTTCATATCAGAACGATCTTTTGGGGAATAAATTTACTAAAATGTCAGTTTTTATCAGTTGATGGTCACGTTTCTTAAATTTAAATAAAACGAGAAAGTGACTTCTTGGAATCGCGGCCCTTGTCCACAGAGTAATGGAATTGTTATGGCCTTGTGTGTGACTGCTTGCAATAAACGTAGAAAGTTCACTGAGTTAAGATTTTTTTAACAAAAGTTTTGATATTTTGTGGGATTACGGAGGAATGTAGGTCGATGGGAGGGTAATTAAGAGGGTTGGAAAAGAGGTGTGAAAGTGACATTGTAAGTGATTCATTCCTAATTTTTATACGAGATAATTAAAAAATTACGAAAATGGTGTTGCTGTTAGTCTTTTTATTAAATTTTGTTGTGTTTTAACTTGTGGTAGAGTTTTTAGGCGGATTTTTGCAGTAATTGTTCGAAACTTGTCAAACTTTTCAATTCCCATAAATATCTCGATGATTCTTCTAAGCTTTATATCTCCGTAGAAATTTTCCTCTTTTATTCTCTCACCTTTCTTTGATAAGTGGTTTATAAACGAATTTCTAAATTAATGTGACAATTATTTCGGAATCGACTGTACATTAATTTCGTGTCACGTAATTCAGCTTCATGTGCCTAAAAACGTGACATAAATTTGTAAGTAATAGTGTGAGTTGACCACTGTCGAAATTTTTTTATCACAAAGTAAAATTGTCTTAATTTTTTCATGAAATATTTGACCCATATATTTTTCCTTGCCATCAATAAAACTGGTAAGTGCTATTGGCAATAAGCATCGAACTGTTGGCAACGATTTTTTTTATTGTAATGTATAGCCACAATAGAAGTTCATTTTTATGCCGGAAATTGTGAATTTTTGATGATTGGAAATGGATGAGGCTGGAAAAGCGGTATTTACAATAAATAAAAAGAGGTAAGGCTTTCGGGAATTGGAGTACGACAGTTTTGTTGAAGCCATTTGTGTATTTTTTTATTACATAAATATTCTGTGTGACAATAGAAATGTTCTAATTTTACTAGTAGTGACTAGTGCAGTTAGTAGTGCAAAATGTCGAGTACTGATGATCTGCAATGTATGTATGTACCTCTCTAGAAATTGCCGAAGCAGCGAAAAAGACAAGAAGGAAACAACGTTGACAAATGTCAATAATGTCATGGTAAAAGTAAAAACGCTTAGGCGCAAAAATAGAATTTTTACTCCCTGATTGAAAGGTAAAACTGTGACATCTAGACATAAAAGTGGTCACTTTTTTGACGTTTGCGGATAAAATACATTATTTTTAAGAATTTAAAATGGCTTCCATTTACTTTCTGGCAATAATGAATCTGTTGAACACACTTTTGTAAACATTCGATCAAAATGTTAGCAGAAATTGGGCAATTGTAGATTGAGATATAGGTGCAGTGAATCACTGAAAAATTTCGATTGTTATGTAAATATCTCGTTATCTTTAGCACCCAATATTTATTACAACTTATTCAGTTTATTTAAATTATTTCGTTATCTGTTATTTATTGTTATGTCAAAAGAATTTGAACAAAGGCACAATCCTTCATGTCAGATTTATGACGAGCAAAAATAATAATTACGTCGTTTCTTTAAAATTTTTTCGAACGGTTTCGAGAGTTGGTAATAATCCGAAAATACATCATTGACGTTGGTTATATTTGGCGAACAAAGAAACGAAGAACTCTCTCTGAAAAAACAAGAACACAAATTTATCGACTCGTTCACATTGACTATGTAACAGTGCGTGACCCAGAATTTACATAAAAGCATAAACGCAAAAGACCAAAATTGACAATTTGATTATCGGCCAGAAAATAAAGTAGATTAAAAATTGGAGAAATCAACTTTTTTTTTAGATTTTCTAACATGTCATTGGAAAAATGTTGGTTCTCACGAGTACTTTCCTCCAGATCGATTTTTGCAGCACACCCACAGATCTCGTTCGCCGTTAACCCGAAGGGGGCACACATCGCTCTCACGCTTCACACAACGTACCGTAAAAATGCAAAATAGAATGCAATTGGCATATGTGTGCATGTAATTAGTTGAAGAGAGAGGTGGCTCGAAGCGAAATGTCAATTAGGGACGGTGGCGGTAGTGGTGGCGGCGTCCCGTCGTAAAAAATATGACATATTCGAGACTATAAAGTGTAATGGGGGCGGCATTTCACATGCCAGTAAGTGGGCAGTCGACCGAAGACGTCGACATTTTCGTGCCGAAAAGGTCGCGACGTCATTTGAATCTTGTGGGGTAATGAGGGGTCGCGGATTTTGTTGTTTTTCGGAAGTTGAACGAGAGTAGTTGGTGCTCTCGCACTGGGATTCTATTAGCTAATGGGTATTCCCGATGGGGTGCTTCGCACGCAAACCTTACGTATTATATGTATTTTCGGGCCGAAAGGGCCACAGACACGATAACGATACGATAAGGACGAGGATTTGGCTTTCAGATACGGTTAACGGTTAATTCGATTTCAAGAAGGCAAAATTTTATTTTTCAAAATCCTTAAATAATCACATTTTTTTATTTTTTACAAAATTCTTGATAAGGTTACTAAGGAATTTCTGGCATTTCTTTCTTAAAAAGGTTACGTTCCTGTTTATTATCCTAAATGTTAACTCTGTCTACTCGCAAACTTAACTTAACTTCTCTTTCACTAAAAAGTTATGTCAGTTTTTCCCAAAATTTGCAAGAAATTGAAACTTTTCCAGTTCGTGGCAGGTGCGTTGTTAAATTCCGCCGCCGTCAGTTTGGTGGCGGCGATGGTGGCGTCTTGCTTGGCCCACTTCGTCGCTTACAAATCGGCGCCAGATCCGTCTGGATGTGGCGTCAGTCTCCGTCCCGACGCCATTAATTCAGCAAACAGTGCCTAATGATTGAATCAACAGTGTGTCGGGAGAGGAGAATTGTTCTCGTATGCGTGCCACATGTTGGGCGCCAATCGTAAAATTATCGCAGGGGTACTAAAACGATGTAAGACGAGAATCGTCAAGGGACAAGTATAAAATATTGCCGTGATTTGGATAATAAGCGTCAAGATGAAGTACGGATGGGATTATTTGTCGGATTATATAGGATGACCCAACGAGGCGAAAAAATGAAATTACTCACTTGTTATTGACATGAGAAAAATGAGATTTTACAACACTTGGAGATGATGACTGCAAGGGACTAACAAGACATAAACTACTACCAGAAAAACAGTCGTGTTTCAAGGATAAAAGTACGTAGTTATGGAGAAATTCTATCATAAACTTCAGCTAAAAAAAGGGCCAAGAATATGCTCTACTGCTTGAATCCTCTACATTTTTTGCATTAAAATTTTACCCACATTTCAAAGGGCAGAACCAAAATTTGGACTTGGTGATTTCCAAGACCTTGGTTCATTGGACACCTTTTGAAATTGTGTGATTTTTGTTTTTGCTTGGTGAGTGATTTGGCTTTTTGGTGTCGTTGGGCTAGCCTGTATACGGGGGTTTCTTTTCTCTTCAACCCCCATATTGATCGCCTGTTGCATTTCGCAAAGGGCGCATGCTCTCGGCTTTAAAGCATGTCCTACTCTCACCGATTTGTTCCTGCAATGCCAACTAGGCCACAGCTCTCAGCTGACTTCGTTCCGACACTTCTTCGACGATGGATCATCTTTCCAGGTGAGTTTTGATGCATGTGTTCTGCTTTCGATGCACTTTTGTCTCATCCACTACGTAATTTGTCGGGGAAAGGAAGAAGACTTGATCATCTCTTGGAGGGTTATTGCATGTTATATCAAGTGAAAATTTCTTTTGATAAAAGAGAAAGGTCATCATCTATGTTGAGTCTTACATCTTTTTCAAGTGGCCAATCGATATAATCCTTCAGTCCGCATTAAATTGATGCCACGTGACTAAATCGAGCATTCGGCCTCAGTCGAACGTAATAAAGACGAGAATTTCAGATCTGAATGTTGCGGCAGAGCTTATCGCTTCCAGATCGTATCGCAACGAGTGGTATACAGGGTGGTGAATTTTTTTACTTCCGAGAGTTGAAACGAACGGGGTTGACGAACTTCTCAAATGATTTTTGCTCAATTTTAAAATACGATTATGACATTGACTTACTTAACTGTTAAATTATGATTCGTGACAGGATTGCCTTAGAGGCTAACTAAATCAAGAGTACAAGCGTAGCGAGTGGAGCAATCATCCGAATGAATAATGGCTGTTTTGTGACGTCTTGTCATCATTAAGATTTTAGAATGACGAATAAGTATTTTATATGACAGATGAGTGATTTATTTGTCGTTGGTGGCGTGAATAATTGACACAGATAATAATATATTATTGTCGAAAATGGAGACATAAAATGAGTAACAAACACAACAATTTTGCATGTTTTTTTTTATTTAAAATCGTATCTGAAAAGTGGCAAACCTGTATAAATTTGGCCGGCCTCTCAAGTCGGCTCATTATTCAAATTATAATTAAAAGATTAAGTTACGCTTTTCTCGAGCCCGATTCGTATTCGTCGAGTTTTCATTGTTAGTTGTGGCCTCATTATTTTTAATATGCGAGGATTATGTAGCAATAAATGGTTTATTTTTTAAGGTGCATTGATACAACAGTAGTTAAAACGTGCGCATCTCATGGTCGTGACGGTTTCAAAAGACGACTTGCCGGTGTCGGTAATCTTGTAAAACCAGCCGAATCGAAGACCGGCAACAGCTTCTCTTTGCTTCCTCTTAGTTGGTCTTTTTTTAACGGCTCGGTAGGAAAATACGTCGCTCCGTAAAAATCTAATCCTTGTTGGAGGAGTTGGTTGTACTCGTCTAAGGAGGCTACGGTCACCCGAATTGGATTGGGGGTACCAGGGGGTTGGTCGATTTTTGGAGACATTCGCGTCACTTCTACCTAAAATTAAGAAAAACTTTAAATCATTTAGTGTACTAATTTTTTAACTTACCACTGAGGAGTATCTGTATAGACTTGCCCGGATGTCATCTTCGGGTAAGTCAATTGGCACCTCGTGCACCAACAATGAGAAGGTTTTCTGCGGCCGACACGGAATGTTGACTTTTCTATACAATCGTCCGCCGGTTACTCTATGAAAACCTTTGCGAAAAACCTGCTGGAAATCTTCCGGATCGGAGAACTTGAAGAGGATCCCCGTTGCGGTCTTGGTCAGACTGAAACTTCCCCGAAAGTTGAGTTTATCGCAAATGTTGGCGGCCTTGTCTAAACTCAGATCGTGCGATGGTGTCAGAAGGAAGGCTCCCTTGGTGAGAAACCTCGTCTGATCGCTGAGTTCGCTATTATCGTCGTCGTTCTCGCCCATCACGTCAGGGAAGAACAAAGACATGGTCTTGCACTGGTACCAACATACTTTTTTTGGGGGTCGAGACTAGCAACGATGGGTTTTATACACTATGACTCTACCTACGCTAATTTCTAATAATTTGTCGATGGCGTAATTCAGCCATTAAATGGTTTAATATGGTTCTTTTGTTTTGGCGGATAATTGGACGTGGTTTTTTCGTCCTCTTCTAGCATGAGTTAAATTAGATAAATTGTTCGATTTAATTGTTTAATTAGGCGAGACGGTTAAATTAAGGGTGGAGCTGATGGCGTCATCGAGGGGGTGAGCCAAGGAGATATGACAGAGGAAAAGTTTTAAATTGATTTTCAGGGAAATAAGTAATGCACAATGCAAACAATTGACGGTTCTAATCCATATTGACTCTTTTTATTAACATGATTGAAATGCTTTTAAGTAACTTGATAGCTTTAAGTGCAAAATAAAGATGAGGGACTTGAGGAAACGCAAAAAGGCAAATCGTCGTGATTTGACAGTGTGGCTTCAACCACCGAAAACACATTTTTCAATATTTCTATACAGAATGTCTCAGCGAGTTGTTGCCCTTTATACGTTAGCATCTAACAACTTTCTAGACCTCCCTGTATAAAGTGGCTCCAGCATGTACGATTCCATCCAACTGCCTTGAAATAATCCAGGTCAAATATTCCTCTCCTCATTTCAACTAATCTGTTTTCCGTCCTCTTTCCCTTGGTCACCGGCGACCATGTCGTTTCATTTCCCAAAAAGAACCATCCTAATCCGTTTCGACAGTGGCGTCGACCCCACCTCTAATCGCGTTAATTCGATAATCTCGTCGAAATCAGTCCCTGGACTAGTGGTGGTAGTGGTGGTGGTGTCATTGTGGTAGTCCCCCGATATCTTATTTCCTTTTCGAACGTCCGGTTCTGTCGTGGCGACGCACCCAGCAATTAGGCGTCGCCGGCGTCGTCCATCGACGCGTCCACCAATGTCTAATATAAATGAAGCGTGTGTATTCCTGCCGCACCCCGACGTTCGTAATGCCGCACCTTTTCGACTTCCGCGCGGCCGCTCCTTTGCATTAACTAATAGCTGAGGGCTTGGCCCTTGCCGCTACTGACGATAAGGCCATCGATAAAGGACTGCTACGCTCGTTCGTGCTTCAAAACAAAACAAAAATGTCTTTTAATTCTTCTCAATTTTGATGAAACGGAATTAACTCATCATACATTGTACCTAGGAAGCAATTCAACGACTGATATCCCCCCAGCAGGTCGTATCTAATAACGTTTAATTAAGACCACGCGTCTAATAAAAATTGTTATCACAAAGTCACCGATTTAGCTCTAATTTATTTAAGGAGTGTCCTTTTAGATTAGTTTATCGTCGTCGTGGGGTTTGCACGCGACAAAATGGCGGTTCGATTGTTGTATTAATTTTTTTTTTTCAAAAGGGGTTGTTACACCTGTTGCCCACATATGTGCGACCTTTGTCCTCCCCCTTTTTTGTGTCAACGACCTGCGATCAATAAATTTCCAATGTTACAAACATTCGAGAGTTTGATTTTTTTGCGTTATACAGGGTGCTGTACTAAAAATTCATTTGGAAAAACTTTCGTTGCGAATATAAGCTGAGGAATGTTTATTTCCGGTGATAAAACGCCCTCTTCCTACCCTTAAATTGCGATCGATGGGTTAAACCGTCAAATTAACGGGCATCCGAATGATAGATTTATTGCGGAGCGATGTGTCGTTTGATTAGTTTTGTAGTTTTATATGAGTTTCTTGCATTACACTGGATGAAAGTGTGAGTTTCCACAGGTGGAAGTTAACCACCTAGAGAGAAAAAGACACTTTCCTCCAGTGTAATACACATAATTTTACCTACGATTTAGCAAAAATAACTACAACTGACAATTTTTTGGTATCTTTTCTGAAATTGTGGAAAAATTTACTTTCTGTTATGCTCGTATGAAAAGAAGGTTTTGCAGTAGCAGTTGTATTTTTTGGATTGGTTTTCAGATTATGAAGGAAATTTGGTTTTGGATTTAGGATTTTGCAATTTTTTTCGTGAGAATGACTCACTTTTTTCTCGGTTAATATTTGACTTTTGCCAACCCCAAAAAACGCATCATAGGGTGCCATCACACCACTTCATACATACACACTAGTCCATTACTCGTGCCCTCCCCTTCTTTTAAGGCCCTTTTATGAAACTTAATGATCGGAAATTGGCTCCGATAGTATAGTTATAGTCACGGGTTATCACCCCCTCTCAACGTTGACATTTATATAGAAGTTCTGTCACCGTTTCGCAATTATGAAAGATTACGATAAGTTGAAAAAAACACCTCGCCTATCGATCGATCGTCTCAGTTGTAAAATGCGAAACCTTTTTCATTAAAAGTGTTTGCCAAATCGATTTATGGGTCCAAGAATACGCCGTTAAACATTATCTGCCAACATAAATTATGTTTATGGCAGTACAAACATGACGCCCTCTGTCCAACCGACGTCTAATTAGAAAAATCGACCATGAAACAGCTTTTGATTTCAAAGAATTTAAACAAGGTTTCTTTCGGTTTTCAGTTTGTCGCTGAGTTTAGACAATCTGCATATAAAGTGTGTGCCACAAACTCGCCAACAACGAAACTTGGACGAAATTATTAAAGCGACAAGTTTGTGTTTGGAATCAAGACGGAGCGGTAACGATGTTAATCGAAAACTCTACGCAAATGATAGTTTATTGAAATTAGATTAAGCGACAAATACAAGAAGAATTAACAAGTTTTGACGAGAGACTTTTAAAGAAAGTAGAGGAAAAACATGTAAGTGGACTGCGTTTTTCTTAGGATTTATTGCAAGTTGTAAACCTTATGTCTAGTCCACTTATGTCTATATTTGCAATTACATGCATTATTTTGAACTCTTCTGAAGTTTCAATCTTAAAATTTCAGTATGATGTTATCGAATTATTTTCTGAAGAAAAAACTGAGAACTCTTCTGATTTTTGTATTGTATTTCGTATCGAGTAATGTTAGACGTTCATTTAATTGTATCGTTTGCCATAACTCGATTCTTGAAATCTTTTCTTCGTTGTAAACTTAATGGATGTTGTGTATTGGTGTCGTATTATGTCTGAGAAAAAAAAAGTTTGATGTGAGGTCATAACGTTCGGAAATCGAACGATCGTGAATTGCACGCAGCTCTCAAAATTGTTTTATTATTTGATCCAAGGACTGGTGTGTGTGTGTGTGTGTGGGTCAGTTGATGGAAAACATGGGAGAGTAAAGATTAAATAACCATTAGATTAATTTTATTACTTTATTGGTTAATTATGGTGCAAGAATTGTTACTCAAGTTGGTCGTGATCGTTTAAAGCTTCCAATTATGGACGTGGTTAAGCTTAATTAACTTTTCGAAACTTGTGAGCTTGAAAATTGTCAAATTGGGAATAACTTTTACTGCGATTTTTATTTGAGTCTCAAGTTGTATTAACCGAAAGTCCGAGTGGCGTATTTTCAACCCTTCATCCCCGTGCATATCTGCTCCTGACGTCGTCGTCGTTCAAACGTGCGTAACGGAGAGCGAACACCGGAAACACGGAAACAGCTGAACAGTGGAGCAGATGCACGTCGCCACCTGTCCCCCCTGTCGACGACCCCGAAAACTGTACAAAAACCGAAACAAAATCATCGCGAAATTGGTGGGTGCGTGGGCGTAAAACGTCCTTGGACACAATTATCCGTTATTGTTTTTAATTGAGAGTTAATCGTCCTCCCCTCTATCATCTCCGTGGAGGTGCAACAATGACTAAGAGTGATGTCAACATCGTTACAATAGAGATTTATTATGCAAAGATTTTTCTTTTATGTAATGCACGCCACTGAATCGTCGGGGAAATATTTTTATAGTTGCGAAATGTACAATTTCTAATAATAAATTTGTGTTTCGATGTGAGTTTTCGATACGGTTTTGCATTTTTATGGGTTTTAGAGACGGTATCGGAAAATTACGGACGTTAAAATGTAAGCAATAAGTCATTTTCTTGTAAACTGAAAGTCTGATTGAATTTTTTTGAAAATGAACGATTGTCAGAGCTTTCGTCTGAAAATTGCAAAAAATTGGATTAAAAATTGGGAAGCCTTAGTAAATTTAATTGATTTAATTTAATCGGTTCATGGCCAGTACTCTTATTAGACTAATAATTTGATTTTTCCAGTTTTTAAATAATTTTACGACACTTAAAATAAAACTCTATTAATACTCTAATTGCTGTTATTGTTTCGAATCTTTATTTTTTTATTCATTGTCATTTCATTTCCTTCTAATCTAATTAAAATTTTCAAACATGTAAAAGTCTGCCTAACATTTCCTCTGGATTTTCCTTTAATTCGTGAAAATTGCTTTCGCCATCAAAACCTCCCTCGATCTCAAATTGCGTCATTTCGACCTTGATTTTTACGCCAACCATCCCTCGACCCCTCGAAGACGACGACCAGAAGGTGTCTCGCAGCGCACGCAATTTACCTCTATTCTGTTTCATTTTGGGTAAACGTCGTCGTCGACGTGCGTCCGGAATTGCGCGATCCGGAGTATTGTTGCGGGGGTGTGCGAGATAAAGACACCGATACTATTGACGTAATCCCGGAAGTGTGTCGACGGCGATGTACGAAAGTGTCCGAAGCGGTTCGTTTGTTATAATTCCGAGAGATGTTTCGAAGAGTTTCGTCAGTTGGTTGGTGGAGGCGGAGCGGTGAAGAAGTGTGGGGGGTGGAGGGGTGGAACGGTGTGATTTCGTCTCTGATTTTTTGGATATATTTTTATTAGATTTTAGTCGGAAATATTTTTGTTTTACTCTTTGGTATGTAAATATTTTTTGAAATGGTTTGATGTTTTTGTGTAGAATTTTTCCACATATTGGGAGTCATGTGACCAAACACATTTTTTTTTGTTTCAGGTTTATGGGTTTTACTGGGAAAAATTTCGGGTAAGTTTTGTTTATTTATAATTTTTAGTGTCGGATTATGTCAACAATT